GGAAGACAGGCAGACAAATGTCAGTGTGCTAAAAGAAGCAAAGACCACCAGCACTGAAGCGATGGCCCTCCGGTATCAACTCTGCTGGACCAGTCACATTGTCTGAATGCCCGACCACCATCTCCCAAAGCAGTTGCTCTACTCTGAACTCAAGAACAGAAAACGGAATGTTGGTGAGCAGGAAAAAAGTTTTTAAAATGGGCTCAAAGCCAACCTTAAAAACTGTGGCATAGACACTGAGAACTGGGAAGCTCTGGCCCTTGAGCGCTCTAGCTGGAGGTCAGCTGTGATCAGCAGTGCTGTAGAATTTGAAGAGGCACGAATGGAGGGCGAAAGAGAGAAATGTGCCAAGAGGAAGGCGTGTCAAGCCAACCCCGACCGGGGCTGCCTCCCACCTGGAAATCAATGCCCTCACTGCGGGACAACATGCAGTTCAAAAAACAGGCTCTACAGTTACCTGCGTACCCACTGCCAGGACATCGAACTTGGAGGACAATCTCACTCGGACAACGAGGGATCGCCTAAGTAAGTAAGTAAAAGTAAGTGTGTGTGCACATACACACATATTGAAGTTTCTCCGAGACCCCTCTGACCACAATTTCGACACAGACAGCTATTTTGGCCTACATAAGCACCAGCAGTTCACTCTTGAAGACTGAGAAATGAGTAGATATTTTGTTATTTAACATTTCTGTGCACTTCTCTGAACATTCCTGTGCACTGGTGGGATATGAGATGACTACTCAGCAGGTTGTGTATGAGGATCACTATTACAGATATTCAGATAAATAGAAAGAATTAACGACAGCTCTATAGCCTGAAACAACCTGGTGTGCAAACTGTAGTTCTGTAGAAATTTGAAGTAGGGTTACAAATCTGCTGTTTTACGGAAGAGTCTGCTTGAAAATGCTGTTCTGTTTAAGTGCTCAGTATATTCTCATCCAAAGTGGATAAACTTGGAGTGGTAACATTATCTCTGGAGTTGTTATATGCCTTCACTTAATCCTGAGCCATCACTATCGTATGGTTTTCTTAGCAAGATTCAGAGAAGGTTGCCTTTTTCTAGGGCTGGGAGAGTGTATATCTTGCCCAAGCTTCCCCACCGAGTGTGGATATGAGACATAGTTTCCAGAATCATAGTCCAATACCCAAACTACCACCCCATGGCCTAGATAGATAGATAGATAGATAGATAGATAGATAGATAGATAGATAGATAGACATTAGCCATTGTGTGGAATATATACATATACACAATATATACAGCCATGTGCACTCTCATCCATTCTGTGGGTGGAGTGCATATTGAAAGCAGCTATATTCTACTGTGGTATAACTCTACAGGTTATATTGCTACCAGCAGATTGCATTTGGCACGTCTTCTCTCCACCTGTGCTTGTCACTAGCAAGACTTCCCCAGGGCTCTTGGAAACCAGCTTGAAAACCATATACATTTGGTGAAATCTTATTTATAAGGACATGGTTTATGAGGCTATTGTAAAGATTACTGAGATACATGCATGAAATTCCTGAACAATACACACACTCTTGTGTAATCTTCCACATATTGTTTAACTGCAACTCCCAGCCAGCACCAGAAATGATGAGGAATACTAAGAGGTGCCAACTATTCCTACCCATGCACTACTTAGAAAATAACTATTAATTTATTATTACCCTCAGTGATGGAGTAATGGAGCCCCCGGTGGCGCAGTGGGTTAAACCGTTGAGCTGCTGAACTTGCTGACCGAAAGATCGCATGTTCAAATCCGGGGAGTGGCATGAGCTTCTGCTGTCAGCCCCAGCTTCTACCAAACTAGCAGTTCAAAAACATGCAAATGTGAGTAGATCAATAGGTACCACTCCAGTGGGAAGGTAACGGCGCGCCATGCAGTCATGCCGGCCACATGAACTTGGAGGTGTCTATGGACAACGCTGGCTCTTCGGCTTAGAAATGGAGATGAGCACCACACCCCAGAGTCGGACACAACTAGACTTAATGTCAGGGGGAAACCTTTACCTTTACCCCAAGTACTCAAATATTATTAGAAGAGTTTGATGCTATGTGCCTTCAAGTAACTTCCAACCTATGGCAACTCTAAGATTAACCTATTGTGGTGTTTTTGTTTTCAGGGGGGTTTGTCTTCCTCTGAGTGTGACTTGCTCAAGGTTACCCAGTAGATTTCCATGGCTGAGCAGTGATTCAAACCCTGCGCTCCAGAGTTACAGTACAACACACATACCAAATGCTGGCTATTACTAGGATGGTTACCTATTTTGGTTTTAAACAACAAAGCTTCATGATTGGGCAAGATTTAACCTTCTTTTTTGTTTGTTTGAATTCAAAAGAAATAACCATTATTATTTCTTTTAACCATTAAAAGATTGCAAATAGTGTGCCGTGAGTTTAATTCAATCCTCTGATCTTGGTATGCATTGTGAATTGAAACATAGGAAAAGGATGGAGATCATTCTGAAGGCAACAAGACACATAGTATCTTTTACATTTTTCAGAGCAAAGATTAAATTGTCAAGCTACCAAAATTTAATCCAGAAACAATGACTCTTTGGCATTTTACTCTTATATACTGAGGCCAAACATTTCATATGCTCCCGTGAGGGTGTTCTGGGTTCCTGTATTACCTGATTAAGTGAATTTTATCCATGCCCATTTACACAGTTGGCCCAGAAAGAATTCTGATAAGCCTCTTATCTATCTTATCCCTGTGTTATCACAAGACCCACCTCCTGGCCTCAAGTTTACCCTCTGAAATCTCTGCCACCAAGGGATTGCAAATACAAATTCTAGGTGTGAACTACAGGCCGTCCTCAAGATACAAACAAGATAGGTTCTGTAGGTTTGTTCTTAAATTGAATTTGTAAGTTGGAAAGGGGGCATTTTTAAGTGTAGCTCTACCCATACCTATATGTTTTAGCTTTGGATAGCATAGTGAAGGGTCAACACCTGTGTGGTGTTTGTTTTGCTACCTTTGCCCTGTTCAGAAGATTTCACCTCACTTTCTGTCCCTGTGATGATTGGACTTTGAAAAAGATGGTTTCTTGTGGAAAGAAGGATTGGTGCTAAAGCTTCAGTGAAGACACCTTTTTCACATAACTTTTCCAGGAGTGAATTTCCCATCCTATAGGTACATTTCTCTCACTTCCTGTTGTCTCACTACTGTTATTAACTGTGAACCATGTGTAAGTTTGATGTTTGTAACTCAGCGACTGCCTATACTTCCAATATCCCTGCAATGCTAGAAATGTGGAAATTGAAGAAAACTTGCACTTGGGAGGGTAGAGTTCCCCTTTTGCCCCCCTCCCCCCCCAAATTGTGCATAGCTAGACTTTCCATTTTGGCTTCCCACTTCTTCATGATGCCCTCCACAGGCGCCATCTGCACCAGGGGTCCTCAAACTAAGACTCACAGGCCAGATTCGGCCCTCCAAGGTCATTTACCCAACCTATGCCTTAAATGTTAGACTTAGGGTCGCCCTCAATCTGACATGACTTGAAGGCACACAACAACAGCAATCCTAATGAACTTGATCATCTAATCAGCCAAAAGTAGGCTGTAAGTTGGATGTTTGTAACTCGGGGACAGCCTGTAGTGTCAAACCATGTTCCTCCTACACCCAAATATATTTCTCCATGCCTTCAAAAACAGCCTCAGCTAAGGATAACATGTCACCTTTGAAGGAATTCCTGGATGAGGTAATGGGCTGGATAAAGAAAAACAAATTCTGAATCCAAACAAAACAGAGGTGCTTGCCATCAAGGGTCGTCCTCTGGGGGTGGAGATGTGTCAACCACTTCTGGATGGGGTTACACTCCCCCTGAAAGACTGTGTTCGATTGCTTGCCTGCCTACCCGCCGCCCTTCCCTGCCCAGCCCTGCCTGCCTTGACTGACTACACTGACTAAATGCCTGAACTGACTGACTGCCTGCACTGCTTGCCTGCACTGACTGACTACCTACCCTGCCTGCCTACACTGCCTGCATGAACTGCTTGCTTTCACTGCCTTCCTGCACTGCCTGCCTGCCAGCACTGCCTGCATGCACTGTCTTCACTGACTGCCTTTACTGCCTGACTACACTGCCTGCTTCCACTGCCTGCCTTCACTACCTGCTTCCACTGCCTGCCTACACTGCCTGGTTGCACTGCATGCCTACACTGCCTGCCTGCACTGACTCCGTTTGCACTGCCTGCTTCCACTGCCTGCCTGATGCACTGCCTTCACTGCACTGCCTGTCTTCACTGACTATTTGCTTACACTGCCTGCTTGCACTGACTCCCTGCCTACACTGCCTGCCTGTACTGCCTGCCTTCACTGATAGCACTGCATGTCTATATTGCCTGCCACCGATTCCCTGCCTGCACTGCCTGCTTCCAGTGTCTGCCTGATGCACTGCTACCACTGCCTGACTAAAAGCACTGCCTGCACTGCTTGACTGCACTGCCTGCCTTCACCACCTGCTTCCACTGCCTGCCTGCACTGCCTGTTTCCCCTGCCTTCACTGCACTGCTTGGACTGCATACTTGCATTGCTTGCCTCCACGGACTCTCTGCCTGCACTGCCTGCTTTCACTGCCTGCCTGATGCACTACCTTTCAATGCTTGACTGCACTGCCTGCCTGCACTGACTACTTGCTTGCACTGCCTACCTGCACTGCCTGCTTCCACTGTCTTCTCTGCACTGATTACACTGCATGTCTGCATTGCCTGCCTCCACGGACCCCCTGCCTACACTGCCTGCCTGAGAGCACTGCCTGCCCTGCTTGACTGCACTGCCTGCATTCTCTACCTGCTCAAACTGCATGCCTACCCTACTTGTCTACATTGACTGCACTAACTCCCTGCCTGCCTGCCTTCTTTCCTGGCTGCCTCCAGTCACAGCGCCGTCCTCCCTCTCCTTTCTCAGGCCTTCTCCCTCCCTCCCTCCCTCCCTCCCTCTCTTGGGCGAAGGAGGCGGGGTTGAGGCCTGCGCCTCCGCGGCCAGTTTCGCCCTTCTCGGCGGGTGCCTTCCTTTCGGAGCGGCAGGCGGGGCCTGGCCTCCCCCGGCTCCTCCCCTGACGCTCTTCCTCCCTCCGGCGGGGAGCTCTTCTGCCTCCTCCTCCTCCTCCTCCTCGGCCTGCCTGCCTGCCTGCCTCTGCTTCTCCTCCTTATCTGAGCAGAGCCGCCTTGGCTGGCGGGGTGAGTGAAGGGCGGCCTGGGCGCCACTGGTATTTATAGAGCACAACAGCCGAGGGGGGGGGGGCACCATGGGGGCGAGCCGTGGTGTGTGTGTGTGTGGACAGGTCGCTTTGTCCCGGAAGAGAGAGTGACAGGTGCCAGCCGCCCTTGGGCCAAGAGCCCGTCCCCTTCCCTCCTTGCAAAGGTCTCTCTGGGGCTTTGCAGCCTCCCCCTTGAATCCCTTCCTGGCTGCAGTGGGGCCACATTCCTTGTCCCAATATCCCTGCCTCGCTTCCCAAGTTGTTTTCTGCAGGAGAGGGACAACAAAATGTGAGTTTCTCTGCCAGGGGCCCTTCTCAGAAGGACTCCCAAGGTGACCCTTAAAGGCGAAAGCCCACCCCGCTGGCCTCTTTGCGTGAAGAAAACTTCTCTTTCAGTGTGTGCTTTCTTCTTCCGCCTTTTTTAGGAGCCGCTGCTGCTGTGTTTTGGAAGTTCCTCTCCAGCAGATCATTCCCGGCAGCCAAGATGCCTCTGGGTAAGCAAACCCGAGTCCTGCTCCTCAACGACATGGAAAAGCTGGACAAGACCCTCTTCCGGCTGGAGCAAGGTCAGTACAAACAGGCATCATTGTCTCTTCAGTGTTATTACTTGATCTTCTCCTTTTGACCAAGGCAAGGAGTGACTGTCCTTCTGCAAGAGGAAAGGCATTGGTTTCCAAACTCTTCTGTGCCAAGATCAGCAGGAGCTTGTGACCTACATTTTGGGAAAGGGACAAACACTGACCTCTGAGGCCCCTTTTACACTAACATATACAAATCCAGATTATCCACCTTGAACTGGATTATATGCAGTGTAGACTCATATAATCCAGTTCAAAGCAGATCATCTGCTTTTATAATATGAATTATATGGCTGTGTAAAAGGCCCCTTGCACACAGCTGAGTAAAATCCCAACTTTTATGCTTTGAACTGGAATATATGTCTGTGTAGACTCAGATAACCCAGTTCAAAGCAGATATTATGGGATTTTCTGCCTTGATATTCTGAGTTATATGGCTGTGTGGCACTCCATGCAGTCATGCCGGCCACATGACCTTGGAGGTGTCTACAGACAACGCCAGCTCTTCAGCTTAGAAATGGAGATGAGCACCACACCCCAGACACAACTAGACTTAATGTCAGGGGAAAACCTTTACCTTTACTCAAATATTAGTACTCAAATATTATTAGAAGATGCGCACCAACCCCCAGAGTCGGGCATGACTGTACTTAATGTCAGGGGAAAACCTTTGCCTTTACATATGGCTGTGTGGAAGGGTCCAAAGAGTCCTGAACAGATGGATGTAAGAAGTTTTAAGTCTGAAAAGGTTTTGGGGGATATAAACAAAAGCAGAGAATGTGGTGCGCCATTTACTTTTTCAGTCACAAGGAAGAATAAGCGGAGTTGTCAGGTGGCACATAAAAAAGCAACTAGCACAAAAAGTAGCATTTCAGAGTGGTGTGCATGTACACACACAAAAACAGTTACAAAAATATGACTTACAAATGACTCACAGTTAAGAACAGGGGTAAGACAACAGGATGTGAGAGAAATCTACCCCTTGGAAGGGAAATTCACTCCTGATAGAGTTATCATGGGTAAAAGGGGGTCTCCACTGAAGCTTTATTGCCAATCCTTGTTCCCACAACAAGCCAAAGTTTTCAAAATCCAGTTATCACAGGTTTTGTGTGTGTCAGGAGCGATTTGAGAAACTGCAAGTTGCTTCTGGTGTGAGAGAATTGGCCATCTGCAAGGACGTTTTGATGTTTTACCATTCTTGTGGGAGGCTTCTCTCGTGTCCCTGCACAGGGAGCTGGAACTGACAGAGGGAACTCAACCTGTTCTCCCCATATTTGAACTGCTGCAAGTTGGTCAGCAGTCTTGCCAGCACAAGGGTTTAACCCAGGGGTCCTCAAACTTTTTGAGCAGGGGGCCAGTTCACTGTCCCTCAGACCACTGGAGGGCCGAACTATAGTTTACACGGGAACAAACACAATATTTAAAATGAAGAACAAGTAATGTTAAAATTATTTATTTATTTGCCATACTTGTACCCTGCCCTTCTCTACTCCGACAGGGGAACTCAAGGCAGCTTTACAATGACACAATGTTATGCCTCAAAACAATCAAAACTGGAGGAGAACAACTAATTTCAAAGTAAGGGCCGCACAATTAAACAGGAAATAACACTTTCAAACCAGGAACAGATTTTTGTTTTATAAATGTATTATTATGTTTTTTTATACACCACTTTTTGTTTCCACGAGGAGACTGTGGGCCCTTCCAGACAGGCCCTATATCCCAGGATCTGACCCAGGTTTTCTGCTTTAAACTGGATTATATGTGTCTGCACTGGCAGGTAATCTGGGATAAACAGAAATGCAAGCTGCTTTGGCCCCTTCCACACAGCTGTATAAAATCCACACTTAACTGGCTTATATGGCAGTGTGGACTCTGATAATGCAGTTCAAAGCAGATATTGTGGACTCAAACAATGATAGATCTGGACCAAACTTGGCACTGATACTCAATATGTCCAAATGTGAACACTGGTGGCATTTGGGGGTTGTATTTGCTGGGATTTATAGTTCACCTGCAATCAAAGAGCATTCTGAACTCCACCAATGATGGAATTGAACCAGTCTTGGTACACAGAACTCCCATGAACAACAGAAAATACTGGAAGGGTTTGGTGGGCATTGACCTTGAGTTTTGGAGTTGTAGTTCACCTGCCTCCATAAATCACTGTGGACTCAATGATAGATCTGGACCAAACTTGGCACTGATATTCCATATGCCCAAATGTGAACACTGGTGGAGTATGGGGGAAATAGAATCTTGACATTTGGGAGTTGTAGTTGCTGGGATTTATAGTTCACCTACAATCAAAGAGCATTCTGAACCCCATCAACGATGGAATTGAACCAAACTTGGCACACAGTTCTCCCATGACCAACAGAAAATACTGGAAGGGTTTGGTGGGCATGGACCTTGAGTTTGGGTGTAGTTCACCTGCCTCCATAAATCACTGTGGACTCAATGATAGATCTGGACCAAACTTGGCACTATCTCTTATTTTGGGTTGTCTCATCATAGGTTTTCATGGTAAAGCATCTTTAAAAGGAGGTTTTCCATGCCTTCTTCTATGCAGTACTAACAAGTGTTAGCTGTGGGGCTCCTGCCATTAACTGAGGGCCCTTCCACACAGCCATATAACCCAGAATATCAAGGCAGAAAATTCCATAATATTTGCTTTGGACTGGGTTATCTGAGTCCACACTGCCATATATTCTAGTTCAAAGCAGATACTGTGGGAGTTTATTCAGCTGTGTGGAAGGGCCCTGAGAGATCCTGAGTCTTCAAGGGCCCTTCCAGACAGGCCCTATATCCTAGGATCTGATCCCGGATTTTCTGCTTTAAATTGGATTATATGAGTCTGCACTGGCAGATAATCTGGAATAAACAAAAAACCTGGGATCAGATCCTGGGATATAGGACCTGTCTGGAAAGGCCCTGAAAGACCACAGGGGGAAACCATTATAGTAATGGACAACACAAATTGTGCTTACCCCCACCTTCACTTTTCTTCTATACAATAAGTACTTAGTTAAGTCAAGCATAAGTGGGTTGACTAGGAAATACATCTTGATGAATTGAACAAGAACTTTCTTTGAGGCTGGAGTGGTTATCCAAATACAGCTCCCATCCTCCTCCACAATTCACAGTTCTGGCTAAATTGATAAGTTTTTCAGACTAGCAACATCTGGAAAGTTAGGCCATATGTTCTCCATCCTGGTTATAAAGGATGTGGTTTTAATAGATTGGAGATGCTTTTTGTCACTGAAACCAATGAGTGCAGGGATTGCTATTTTTCATTTACTGGTACAGACTCTGCTCTTTAAAGTTTGTTATTAATGTGCTTTTTTCCCTTTGGTCTTTTCCCCAAGTACTTAAGCTTCATTAATAAATCTGTTCTTGCCATCATAAAGCAACCACTACAGATGCTTCAGCTATAATCCTAAGAAGCTAATGGGACATGCTTCTAAGTAACTGTCAATCTTTTACAGTGGGAAGAACATTCTGACACTAAACATAGCATGTTGAAAGGGAGCAATCTTAAAAACAGGATTGTTTGGTTGCATCTTCCAAGCAATAGTTGTGAGTTGATTTCACTGAGTCCCATTGGCAATAAAAGAAAAAACTTTTTCTGATATAGGCTGCTGGCCTCTCTGTTGGGGAATGTCAGTTGGGGTGATTCCACCATAAAATATAGCAGAGTACCAGAAGTAAACTTCTAGGATAGCCCTCTATTTCTTAGGATAGCTCGGGATTGCAGAGTCGGAACTTTAGGTTCAAAAGTATTTATTGAAGTAAAAGAAATCCATTCTTGATAGAAAAGGTCTTAGAGCCAATTAGCTTCTTAAATCTCATCTTCTAAAGGAGGTAAAAGGTTTAAAAAATCCACGCAGCTACATTTTGCCTAAAGATAGGCAAAATGCATCCTTATTGAAAGGAAGAAAAGGCAGAAGAGACTGGAAAATGGTGGAGAGACTGCATGGTCAACCCAGGGCAATAGATCTTTAAAAAGAAGTTCCCTCACAGAATTCCATTACTGCACCACCAAAGGGGGAGGAGACAGTGGCTGGCAGGAAGAGTAAAGACAAAGCCTTGTGGACAACAAGTTAAACATGAGCCAACAATGTGATGCTTCAGGTAAAAAAGCTAATGTGATTTTGGCCTGCATAAATAGGAGCATAGTGTCTAGATCCAGGGAAGTCATGCTATCCTTCTATTCTGCCTTGGTTAGACCACACCTGGAATACTATGTCCAATTCCGGGCACCACAATTGAAGAGAGATATTGACAAGCTGGAATGTGTCCAGAGGAGGGTGACTAAAATGATCAAGGGTCTGGAAAACAAACCCTATGGGGAGCGGTTTAAAGAGCGGGGCATGTTTAGCCTGCAGAACAGAAGACTGAGAGGAGACATAATAGCCATGTATAAATATGTGAGGGGAAGTCATAGGAAGGAGGGAGCAAGCTTGTTTTCTGCTGCCCTGGAGACTAGGATGCGGAGCAATGGCTTCAAACTACAGGAAAGGAAATTCCCTCTGAACATTAGGGAGAACTTTCTGATTGTGAGAGCTGTTCAGCAGTGGAACTCTCTGCCCCGGAGTGTGGTGGAGGCTCCTTCTTTGGAGGCTTTTAAACAGAGGCTGGATGGCCATCTGTTAGGGGTGCTTTGAACACGATTTTCCTGCTTCTTGGCAAGGGGTTGGACTGGATGGCCCACGAGGTCTCTTCCAACTCTAAGATTCTATGAAAGCCCTTTTTGGGAAAACATGCATAGGAATGTGTGTGTTTGGAGGGGGGGGGGATCCCTCAGCCTGGCCCTGACTGTAGCCTAGCTACTCATTGAAGTCTAGAAACTTATGGCACAAGAAACTTGTGCAGCCCAGGGATGAAACACACCCCTCTTTGTTGAAAATTTGAAGTAAGTTATATTAAAATCAGTTGGACTTCAATTAAAATGTGTTCAACTAAAAGGTTGAGGTTTGAGGAAAGGCATTTTTAAGTGGGATGGGAAATGCCATAACACATTCTTACCCCTGCAACAAGACAATAATTTAAATGTTATCCTTCCCCTTCCTAAACTACTTTTTTGTTGGTGAAAGCTGAGTGAAAGAGTTTAGAACAAAAAAGTTAATGCCAAGATATAGGTACCAGTTTTATGAGGAAGATATTATTTGACTGCTTCGATTTTATCCTGACATTCATGAGCCACATACCAAAAAGTGCCCTTCTTTCAGCTAAAGCATTTGTGGGAAGCCGGAAACTCTCCAAGTGGTTTTAAACTATTAATTTCCATCACTCATAACCAAGATAACCCATTGTTGAGGATGGTAGAAGTTGGAGTCCAATGTCACAGAGGGGATCACACATTTCCAGCCCTGAGCTAGAATATTTTTATAAGCTCTACAGTGGAGTGGACAGCTGCAGAAAGCTAGATGGCCACAGAGCTTAGGGGGGGGCCACACAAAAGAAATGCTCCCAAACATGAAGGAAATTCCAAAAAAAAGTTTTTAAAATTGTTTATTTAAACAAAACTAGTCCTACGGGCATCCTCATGCCACACTTTGTCCACCCCACTCTACAATCACACCCAGAACAAAATTATCCCATATCTTCTAGCTTGGAGAGGTTCCTACATTCCTGGGGAAAGAAAGCAGTAAATGTTTCATTGATTATACTGGTTAGGAAACATGCAACTGAAAACATTTTTGCTTCCACTCTAACACTTTATGTACTTCTTTGTGTGAACTTACTTTATTGGAGTTGTAGAGCATGGACTCCTAAATACACTTTTAAGAGAAGTAAGCACCATAGAGCTAAGCATATAAGACTACAATGCTTACATTTGAACTATCGGAATCTTGCTTGTTGAATCCAAGAGGGTTGTGAAACTTTAATAAGGGCTGCTTTTGAGTTAAATTGTATTGCTTGGATTAATCTATTTAGATGGGCAAACTTTGGCCCGCCAGGTGTTTTGGACTTCAGTTCCCACAATTCCTAACAGCTGGTTTAGAGAATGGGGCCTTACAATTTGGCTTAGTTAAAGCAATGGTATCTGCTACAGTAACCTTTGGATACAAAAGCTGGACCATGAGAGAGGCTGAGCGAAGGAAGATAGGCGCTTTTTAACTGTGGTGCTGGATGAAAATTCTGAGAGTGCCTTGGACCACAAGAACAAACCAATCCATATTCCAGGAAATAAAGCCTGACTGCTCACTGGAGGGAAGGATATTAGAGGCAAAGATGAAGTACTTTGGCCACATCATGAGAAGAAAGGAAAGCTTAGAGAAGACAATTATGCTGGGAAAATGGAAGGAAAAGGGAAGAGGGGGCCCGACCAAGGGCAAGATGGATGGATAGTATCCTTGAAGTGACTGGATTGACCTTGAAGGAGCTTGGGATGGCAACGACGGACAGGGAGCTCTGGTGTGGGCTGGTCCATGAGGCCACGAAGAGTTGGAAGTGACTGAACAAATAAACAACAACATTATTTGGCAAGTTATTGATTGGAAGTGTCAACCAAAAATCACTGATCAGTAAAGAAACTGAAACAGATTATTTAGGGTTCCTCGAAATGGAATTGCTTGTTGCTATAGTTCTCATGGTTTCTTTGGCTTTTTCTTTTCTTTCTTTTTTTAAGGAGGTTTTCTTGTAGCAAACTATATTTTGGTAGTTCCCAGTGCCAGCTATTACATTGAAGTACCTTCTTTTTAATTTTGAGGCATACTGGATTAAAAAATCTCCATATTGTCTACTCCTTGCTTTTCAAATTTTTCCATAAGAGTTTATGATATTGTGCAGGTGAAATGGCATTTTTGCAAAATAGCACTACAACTACAACCAAGGAAGGAACAATATGGGATCATTTTAAATTGCAAGGGCCTTGCACTTCTATTTCCATCTCCACCTTTTGGCAGAAAGAACAAACAGATAGAAAGGGTTGAGCTAATTTAAGCACGGCATTCCTAAACCTACGTAGACCTTACAGAATAAGATAATAGGAGCAAACATTGCTCATACCTGGACTTTGTTTCGCTGATTCAATAAACAGATTTGTCAAGGCAGTAGTAAAACATGAAGGATTTAACATTAATCCTTGACTGTGGTCTTATAAAGAATACAAATTGATTACTTAAGTAATACTAACAGAAAATTTACTATCTCCCAGTTTATTTGTGGTAGTAAGTGGAGATAATTAATACCGATCAAACAACAGGTGCAGGTTATTAAGATCTACTTAATGCAGTTTCATTATTTCATTTGTGTTGGCTCAGTTTCATTTGTTGAGAAATACACATCCGTTATTCTAAAACAGTTACAGAAATCACTTCCTGTATATCAAGCCTGCCTTACCCTTTTTAATTACATGTAAAAACTTTTTTAAAATGTGGCTTTCAGGATAGCTACTGTCACAAGAGTTCATAACAGCTTTCTTTATGTAGAAATCTGTGAGTTCAACCTGTTTTAAATCAAGAGGTAGTTGTGGTTCTTTAAAGGAAACTATGAATATTTATGCTGTTATATGTGTTTATCAAATCTAGTCCTTAGTCATCATGTTGAGTGAAAGACAAACACGGTTCTGTTCACATTAGTAGTTCTGTCGATTTAAAGCTTGTCCACACAGGCCCATTTTGACAAGAACTCACTTCTAGATGTAGATGTACCTTTAGAGTAGATTTATTGGTTGACACCCAGTTGCTAGTCCCAACTAGTCTAGAAACAAGCAAGGAAATTTATATGTGCTGATTTACCAAGCCCTAAATCAAGAATGGCAATTATATGGCCCACAAGATGTTACTGGACTACAACTCCCTACACTGCTCACCATTAACTATGTTGCTAGACCTCCTAGGTGGTCCAACAACATCTGGTGGGCTGCAGGAGTCCCACTGTTGGCCTAAATGCAGTTGCTTGTCTTCACTGGAGCGGAGCTATTGAATTAATTTTTGAATTGTAAATTTCATTGATTTCATTAGCATACTCTAGTAGGGTATGTAAATTGGATTGAGACACAGTTAATTGAAATCCCAGTTTAATTCTCACCAGGCTGGATGCTGGCTAGTCCAAAGTCAAGTAGACCCATTGACTCATTTGTTGAATAATTCATCAACACTTAAAACAACAACTCTGGGTGGATTCACTCTAGTTGTGAAAGTGACAATAAGAGTATGGCCAAGCCATTGGTCACAGTGAGTCAAATATAGCTTTGACTAAAATAGATAATAGACCATGATTTTAAAAAGAAATAGTAGCTGGTTAGATAACAGTACATTTCAAGCATGTGTCTCCATCTGTAATATTTAATTTACAGTCAGTACATGAAATCCTGGCAGGGACAATCTGTTTCACTGTATTTCGGGCCCAGTAATATGAACTATCCTTTATGCAGCACCCTTGGGAGAAATCTATTGGTACATTGTTATCATTACCACTTTTTGAGGATCATGGTCTAAAATTATCAGTAAGTCTCTACCCAACCTTTGGGCCTTCAAGGTGTTTTGGACTTCAGCTCACACAGTTCCTAACAGCTGGTAAGCTGATTGGGATTTCTGGGAGTTGAAGTCCAAAACACTTGGAGGCTCAAAGATTGGGAACCACTACAGTGGTCTGAAGACACCACATCTTATGTGATCTTGGAAGCTAAGCGGGGTCAGACCTTGTTAGAAGCTGGATGATGACAGGCAGAACTGGAGACTATACCTCCGCTTTCAGCATCCCTAATTCCTCCTTTATATCTTTTTTTAAGTCTGACATCTATTCCTGTGAGATCTTTTGATATCTGTCTTGTTTTTCTTTTATTGTTTGTATCTCTTTGTTTATTGCTTGAATTTCACTCATCATCTCTTTCAAGTTCATTTCTTCTGATGCTGACATTTTTCTTGGTGTCCCTTTGGTTTCTTTTCCATCCTTCTCACCTTTCATGACTCCTCATTTCTCCATTACATAATAACAATATTCAAAAATGACCTAGTAAAAATGAAAGGGCATTAGTATGTCAGTTGTAAAAATGTAGTTAATCCTATTTAGGTTTGGGAAATAGATAGGAATATTGAACTTGCTTGCTTACTTGTGTATTATTTATTGTTGCCTGTGAGGTCCCTCAATCTGATGTACAGTTTAAAAGCCGCAACACAACAAACCATATCTAACAATCAAATACATGTGAAAAGAATCTCTTGTTTTCAAATGTGTAAAAATCCAAGTGAAATAATAGATTTGTTAACTGACCACTTAAAAAAGGCAAATAATGCAAGACTTATGTGAGTAAACCAGATAGCTGGGTGGCATTCTTCAACAATATGTCTTAGAATTAATTGGTTTTGAAAGATGTTTGTGTTCTAACAGATCCATGTTTTTCACTGTTTAGGTTTTGAACTACAGTTCCGACTTGGTCCTACCTTGCAAGGCAAGCATGTTAATGTGTATTGTAACTACCCAGCTGCTGGAGAAGTGTTTGATCGACACAAGTTCAGGTGCCTGTCTTGGCACAATCCAACAGGAAAAGAAGATGATTCTGACAAGCACTGTAAACTAGATCTCCAGATCTCTGGATCTTACCAGTATTATTTTAACCATGAGTAAGTAAATATTGGTTCTGGAAGAAGAGCTTCTAGCAGGAGCATCTTCTGTTTGCTGTCTTGGGGCTGAGTTTTGCTCCTTATCCAGCTGGCAGTCCTTGTTGGGAAAGTAGGGAAATTGGGAACACATCAGGCAGCACATGGTATTACCAAAAACTTTATTTCCACTCCTCATGTTGGTTTATATCGGAGTTTCTCAAACTTTGCTCCTCCAGATGTTTTGGACTTCAGCTCCCACAGTTCCTAACAGCTGGTAAGATGGCTGGGATTTCTGGGAGCTAAAGTCTGAAAAAGCTGGAGGAGCACAGTTTGAGGAACTGCTCAGGAGTGTGTTTGCTTTGTTTGGGTGACCCACATTTCACATCCTACTGCCTTTCTACTGCTCCTAGTTGGTCATAGAACTCCATGCAAGCTCCTGGACACTGCAGGACACCTCTGCTGATACCAGAAAGGGGTGTCCACACAACCAGCAAAAAGGAGCAGAGGCAGCAATGACATGGACATGATTTTTTTTTTTGCATGTCAGGAGCGGCTTGAGAAACTGCAAGTCACTTCTGGTGTGAGAGAATTGGCTGTCTGCAAGGATGTTGCCCAGGGGACACCCGGATGTTTTGAGGTTTTAGTATCCTTGTGGGATGCTTCTCTCATGTCCCTGCATGGGGAGCCGGAGCTGACAGAGGGGGCATGATGCCCTCAGGAAAAGGGTGAAGGTGTCAATGATCAGTTTGGACAGCACATCAGTCCAAATGAGATCTGATCCCACTGTCCAGACTGCTCAAGGTCCTGGGATATTTTGGAATTTCTAGTAAACGCTGGAATAGCTCTTAAACTTTGCCCAAAACAAGGAAAAATTACAGTATATTCTGGCGTATAAGACTACTTTTTAACCCAAGAAAATCTTCTCAAAAGTCAGGGGTCGTCTTATATGCGGGTGTAGTCTTATGCATGGCTGTCGTCTTAACTCTATATTTTAACTGGAAAAGTTAGGAGTCGTCTTATACCCCCAGTCGTCTTATATGCCGGAATATACGGTAATTTAAAGCAAAAGTGGTTGAGTTCAGTTGGAGTTACTTCCAGGGTATAGGGTTGTCTTCATATTAAGACAAACATAGCACTTTGGAGATTAACGTAACAATATTAGAAAAATCAGAAAAATGTTGGGAAAATTGAATTAATGTGCGGTGAGGGCATGGGGCTCCAAAATTCTTTGCAGTATGTGTTTTCTTGCACGTAACTTTTTTAGCACCACTATTTCATCCATATTCTACATCTGCCTGGGTTCTAATTTGACAGAGTAGTCAAGAGAAGTCTTAATGAGTTCAAAGGGACATCTTCCTTTATATGTCGATATAGGGTTGTGTTTTGTTTTGAAGTTGTATCTTCTGACACTACACTTTAAAATATTTATATTTCATGATACCCTTGATCCAGCATAGTGTAGTGGTCTGACCACTGAGTTACAGTTCTGGAGACCAGATTCAAATCCCCCCATTCAACCATGGAAAACCATTGTGTGTCCTTGAGAATGTCACTTTCTCCACGTTAGAAGAGGCAAGTGTAAAAACCCCTCTGAATAAATCTTTTCAAGAAAATCATATGCTAAGGTTACCATTAATCAGAAATGACTTGAAGGCCCAAAACAACAAGATACTTTTAAAAACATTGAATAAATTAAAAATAGCAAGGCAGACACAATCCTGCAAAGGCCTTGCTGATAGGTTAGTAAATCTCATGTGCAATTTCATTTCATTGTGATTGAATCTATGGGGGTTTTTTTTCAGAAATCAGAAAAGTGGAGGAGGTTACATAGTTGTAGATCCTATTTTGCGTGTTGGTGCTGACAATCATGAACTGCCCTTGGATTGTGTTACACTCCAGACATTCTTAGCTAAGTGTCTGGGACCTTTCGATGGCTGGGAAGATCGTCTTAAAGTCGCTAAAGAATCTGGTAAGGACTACATTGATTCTGACTAAAATACTGCTTTCTAGTTACACTGGGCTACATTAAGTGCTCCAGTAGTAGAATATCTGCAATAGGGAATGGAAAATTGGTCACCCAGCCCCAGTTTTACTACACCCTGACAGAAGAAGTCCATGAGTGGTTTCTGCCCAATTCTTTTAATACTAGTTAGTAGATTTATATATTTGTACACATCATTGATTGAGTGATTTTATTTCTGTGAAGTATTCAAGATAATAAATGTAAACTTCCCAAACATCTTACCATATGGACACTAATCAGAGCAAGAGCTATTTTATTTGCCTGCAAACCATAGGTTTGCTTTGAGTTTATTATTTTCAGTGCTTACAATGCAGAGTTGATTTCGCAGATGCTTTTATCATTTGATGGGGGTGGAACATGTTAATCCTTTCCATGATTGCTTTTATAGGTTACAACATGGTTCACTTGACACCAGTTCAAAAACTTGGTCTATCTAGATCATGTTACTCCTTGGCTGACCAGCTGGAAGTCAATCCTGATTTTTCAACTCCTAATAAAAAGTGTTCTTGGAATGAAATTGGAAAAATTGTAGAAAAAATGAAAAATGAATGGAATATGCTTTGTATTACCGATGTAGTTTACAATCATACAGGTATGTTTCTTTTTTATTATTCTTGTTATTCCTGTTGTTGATTGTCAAAGAGGCTGTCACCATGAGGTTAATGTTTCTAAGCTCTGCTACTGTCCTGTACTTTTTCTTTTTGAATTTCAGTTGGACACCAAGATGGTCAAATTGTTTTTACATATGGGCATTCTAAACAAAGACACTGCTTTGTACACATCTATCTCTTTTTCAGCAATATAATACTATCAGATTGTCATATATAATTTTGTGCAATTATGTTTTATTAGTGTAATTACGCCTTAAAACTATTATTATTATTATTATTATTACTATATATATATATAGGAGGACCCTGGTGGCGCACCAGGTTAAACCACTGAGTTGCTGAAAGGTTGGCAGTTCAAATCCAGGGAGCTGGGTGAGCTCCCACTGTTAGCCCCAGCTTCTGCCAACCTAGCAATTTGAAAACATGCAAATGTGAGTAGACCCATAGGTACTGCTTCTTTGGGAAGGTAACAGTGCTCCATACAGTCATGCTGGCCACATAACCTTGAAGGTGTCTACGAACAACGCTGGGTCTTCAGCTTAGAAATTGAGATGAGTACCACCCCACAGTCAGACATGACTAGACTTTATATATATCTAGACTGCTGTCTCTCCCCGAGGGGACTGAGGGTGGTTTCCATACATACAAAAAGGCAAATATTCAATGCCATAATTAAAATCACACAATATCAAAAATGTAAAATAGACATTAATTAACTTCTTACCAGAAGAGAATTAAAGTTAAAGTAATAAAAATACATATGAGATATATAATTAGCAGTGGAACTGATTTGATTGTTCCATTTGTACATTACTTTGTGGTGTATCTAGTCAGGGTTTGGTGCTTTTGCATCCATTATTTTAAAAATAAGAGCTTGGGGAAATTGCTCTTTGAACTGGAAGTTGTAGTCCAAAAAGGTAATTCTTCCAAGCTTTGCTTTTAGGTGAGAACTCCTTTGAAGCTGATTCTGAGTGAGAATAAAAACAAAACAACCTACCTCATTTGAACAGTAACTCAACTAGTACTTGTTTGTATATGTCAAGACATTTGGATTTTGATCATATCATGAGAAGACATGACTCATTAGAAAAGACAATAATGCTTGGCAAGATAGAAGGCATTAGGAGAGAAATACACATAATAGATGGATAAACCTAATCATGGCCCAGAATCTACAGGACCTGAGTTGGCTTTTTTCTCTCTCTGCAGACCCTAGATCAGTAGTAGTGAACCTATGGCATGCATGCCAGAACCTATGGCGTGCAGGTTCTCTATTCTGGCATGCATGCCAGCACCCCACCCCTGCCACCCCCGCTCACTCACACACATACGCACCCAGCTCGCCATCCCTCCACCCGCTTGCAAGCTTGCTTGCCTGCCCTCCCCCTACTCGCTTGCCCACCCCTGTTTTGGCATTGCCCTAGATGTATCCGTGGGTCATATCAAAATCCATAATTTTGGCCTCAAAGCCTGTTTTTGACTTCTACATGCGATCAGCTTATACACAAGAATGTAGAGTAAATACATCGAGGCTCAAAAATGTTCTAAGCAGAGCATAGCCTTATTATTCCACTTCTGTTGGCTGGCTGCTTTTATTGCTGGTGGAAGAGTTCCATGTTTACAAAGGTCAACCTTCAGTGAAAAGTAAGGTCTCCATTGCTTAGAATGTCACATTCTAAAAGATCTTGAGTTTCAATGTTGTCAAGCATTTTAAGTTAGAACAAGTTCGTCTGTTAAGTAGGTGTTCCCCTGAAAGGTTTTCATGTCCCCTGAGATCTATGAAAGTGTCAATCATTTTCCCATATTATGTGACATTTCCAAAAAGAACAGGCTGAGTTACACACACATATCCCTCATATGCAGGTGGGTTGTGAATTGATTTCCTTGGTGGATGAGAATTAGTTTGAGACTCATGAAAATCTTTTGATATACATATGAATGCGACCTGTTCCTCTGGAAACTGTTCTCAACAGCTTCATTCAAAATAATAAAAGAAATTGAGAATTTCTAGAAGTCCTTAGTTCTTAGCTTTTTGTTGTGAACAATTGCTCAGCATGATTACAGAAACAAGCAAAGTAGTGTATAAATTTTACATCAAAATGTGTTGTGTTCCAATCACATTGGTTCCCATGCAGAATATAGGAAAAGGTAAAGGTTTTCCTTCATATTAGGTCTAGTTGTGTCTGACTCTGGAGGGTAGTGCTCATCTCCATTTCTAAGCCGAACAGCCAGCATTGTCCATAGACACCTCCAAGGTCATGTGGCCAACATGACTACATGGAGCGCTGTTACCTTCCTGCAGCAGCAGTACCTATTGATCTACTCACATTTGCATGCTTTCGAACTGCTAGGTGGCAGAAGCTGGGGCTAACAGCAGGAGCTCACCTTGCTCCCTGGATTCGAAGTGCCTAACTTTTGGTCAACAAGTTCAGCAGCTCAGCAGTTTAACCCACTGCACCACTAGGTGCACATGACATGCGAAATCTCTTAGACAACTTCCATGCCAAGTTTATTGGCAAGCAATCCTGAGATGTTGTGCTGTACAATACTTGAATTTCCTAACTAGTTGTATTGGTAATTATGTGTTTTTTTCTCAAAGCTGCAAACAGTGAATGGATAACTCAGCATCCTGAGTGTGCTTACAATCTTGTCAATTCTCCTCACTTGAAGCCATCCTGGCTTTTGGACCGAGCTCTTTGGCATTTAACTTGCAGAGTAGCCAGCGGGAAATACAGTGATAGAGGGCTGCCTGCATTGATTGAAAAAGACAATCACTTGAATGTAAGAAAATGAAATGTTTGTTTGTGTTGCTGCTGAATGCATAAAAGTGTCTTGCTAGTTGAAGATGTTTTACTGCCTGAGGCATCCAAATCAAAACAAATGTCATGCAAAGCAAGATGATTAGGGGACATGAGACAGGACATTTCACAACCATCTCTCCCCATCCATGGCACTGAAAGTACAATAATAACAATTTGCTGCCTTTTCATGACATTCAAAATCTGTTGCCTGAGACTATTATCCTGCCTAATGATAGGTCTAGAAAGTATTATTCCCATATTATGTAAATTTGATCCTCAAGATGTATATTTGCTTCTTGCCTTGCTTTGCCCCAGAAATATGTTGCAATCTTATGTTTTTAGTTTTGGAAAGCATTTTCTTAGAATAGAAATGATGTCTTTTAAATATAGTGCTTGTTGTATTCTAATTTGTGCTATTGTACATTTTAAGGTCCATCCTTGTTGTAATTACATTTGTAATACAAGAGTATACTTATTATATCATTTTGTATCTTTGTATCGCAAGTTGCTTTACCATGAATTCTTTTTTTCTAGAAAAGCAGTTTTACAGAGTTCATATGTAACTAAATAGCAACTGTGGTGTGTATATTTCACATAGTAACACAATACTGCAAAACTGTTTTCCTTTTTTTAAAGAAAGCCAAGAAAGAATGTATTCACAAGTTCATTCTGTGCTTGCATTCTTTTGCAATTCTAAACAGCTCACAAAATGTTATGCAGTATAGGAATGTTCTCTCAATTTGGAAGAAAGACATTTAAAATGAGCAATGTACATAAAGCTACGTTTTGTTTTCTTGGCTGATCGGCTTTTTATTTTTACAGTCTCTTCGTAAAATCATTTGGGAGGAAATTTTTCCCAGCCTAAGATTGTGGGAGTTCTTCCAAGTAGACGTTAACAAGGCAGTGCAGCAATTTAGAACTCTCTTAACTCAAGGTAAAAGCTGTGTTCCTTGTAGCTTCTCCAATCAGAAATTGTAGCTTTCGCAGACATTCTTGTAATTTTTTTTTGAAAAACTACTTTCCTTCATGCATAGGGAAATAAGTTACAACTATTTATTTATTTATTTATTATTTGTTATTTATTTGTTTCATTTATATACCGCTTTTCTCAACCCTTGGAGGGACTCAAAGTGGTTCACAACAAATAACTGGCAAAATTCAATGCCTCGCAAATTATAAAATACAACACATTGCTAAAATAGCATATAACAATGAATTAAAACCTGTGAACAATAAAACTTTGGACATGAACAACATAAAACAATTCCTGTCTTCCTCACCATTAGACATCATGACTAGAGCTAATGGAAGTTGAGATATAGTAACATCGGAAGGCTGCAGCTTATTCTGTTGCATCAGAAGAGTAGGATTTGAATTTACATACAACGCTTGTGGACATGATGTCTGACTTTAAAATATCTTTTAACTTTTCCCCAACCTCAGAGCCACAAGTGCTATTGGGTTACAATTCCCAATATCCTCAATCTACATGGCAAATAATCAAAAGTGGTGGGAGCTGCTGTTTAATAATCTCTGGGAACCCACATTGGGTAAAAACTAAAGAGCAACAACCACTGTGTGCAACAGTCATAGTTGGCTCTCTTTATCCGTGGAGTCTCCATCCATAGATTCAACAGCCTTTAGAAGGCAACCCAAGGCTGATGTTGCCCATTATAATGCTTTCCATCTCTAAAATGTATAATAGGTGGCTCAAAAGTCAAAACAGACCCCAAACAACATCTTGCAGTCATCCAGGATCCTGAATTTAAGAGACTTGGCTGTACCGTGGATATGAATGTTGCACTGAACACCTTTATACCACACAGGTATGTTGTTGTTTGATCAATGCTAAGAAGTATGAGAGGGTAAGTTTTTCCAAGGAAGAATATCTGAACTGTCATTCAGAGATCAATGTTAAAAATCTGATACACATACCAATAAGGCTGCACTTTAGTCATCTATGATTTAACACACACAGCTTCATACTAACAGATTTGTTGTGAAATAGATGTCTTCATATCTCAGTTTTTAGCTGTTACCTCAAAGACTTCAAAAGTTTCTCAGGATTCCTGAAAAATGTTATTATTCTGGCCTAGTGTTCTTATATGTTTAATGCCAAAACAACATACGATACAGACGAAAGTTTTCCAAATTCCAACAGATTTATGGCTGAGAAACTTTCTTTCTGCTTGTACTTGTAAATGCTTAAATCCATACAGGCACCAGAACACATCTGTTTTTGGAAGCTAAGCAGGGACAGCCCTGCTTAGTTTTTGGATGGGATGACCACCAACAACTGTAGAGAAGGGAACTACAAACCCACCTCTGAATATTTCTTCCTTAAGAAAACAATATGAAATTCATAGGGTTGCCATGAATACTCTTAGGAGTTTTTAAAATACGTTTTGATGTTTTTGAAAATATTTTTATTTTTATATTGTTTGGATTTTTAATTTGTTCATCACCTTGAGAGCCCTTGTAGGCTAAGAAATAATACAGAAATGTTATAAACAAATATGTATCCAGACATGTGTTGAGTAACCAAGATTTGCATTAGTTCATTATTCACATCAGAATCAGTTGAGATCAATTCCAATATGGTTTTCCATACAGTAAACTTGTGACATTTGATTTAGGTGCCATTTTTAATTCTCTTGTAATAATTTCATATTTCATGGATTGTGATTTTAGCAATGGGCCCACAGCAATAGAAGAGTGCTGTAACTGGTTCCGAAAGAGAGTGGAAGAGCTAAATGGCGAAATGTATCGGCAAACCAATTACCATCAAGAGCAGGTTGTTACAGTGATGAGGCATTTGAAGTTCTTGCTTTTCATGATCATCATTATTATATTATTTCTAATATTCATTGAACTGTTAAAAACTTAAATAGCTGTTTTATTGGCTTCTAGGCTGTCAACTGCATCATGGGAACAGTGAGCTATGAACGATTGGCTGGCCATGGACCTAAGCTTGGTGCAGTAACTAGAAAGTATCCTCTAGTTACAAGGTATTCTGTCTCCATTATAAATATAACTTTTTTTGAACAACTATCTGGCTACCTGTTTATCAATATCACTATGTAACACAATTTTTGTTCCTGGGTTATAAATGTCATTTCCTAATTGGTTCTGTCATAAAAACATGGAAAATATTTATTAAACTATGAAAACTGTGTTTTTGTGGGACAAGCTGCAGCACATTGTGCTATAGTTTTTCAATAAATATCTCAGAGTCTCAACATAGTTTGTGGCTGCCACAAAAACGAAGTTTCTGGAGTATAACAACTACATTCAAAATAAGTACCACACAATTAAACAGGAAATAACACTTTCAAACCAGGAACAGAAAACTTTTCAAACTTTGTTACATAGTGTAATTGGTGGACTCCCTTTACAGAAGCAGATTATATAATCTCACTGGGGGAATTTAGCAATTCCTAGATGTGTTTTATAGGAATTATTAGGTCTTCTAGCATGACTCTGTGATCAACTTCCGCCTCATATTTAGCTTGGAATCTCACTGGAGGGCTTAGAGGTTCCTAACAAAAAGGTTTTATCCACATCCTTGAATTATCAATATTTGCGGATGTGGAGACTCAACTGTATTAAAAAAAATCAAAAAAGTCAACCTTGGTTTTGACCTTTTTGCAGTGGTTCTCAGCCTGTGAGCCCCCAGGTATTTTGGCCTACAACTCCCAGAAATCCCAGCAATTTTACCAGCTGTTGGGGTTTCTGGGAGTTTAAGGCCAAAGCATCTGGGGACCCACAGGTTGAGAACCACTGGGAATACCATTTTGCTATGCCTCTGTATGACTTCAGCATCCACAGATTTTCATATCCTGGAACCAAACACTCGCAGATACCAAGAGCCCACTGTATTTGCGCAATTTTTTAAAAAAGCTTTTCTTTGTGGTGGCATATATTTCAATTGTTACTTGAAAAGCAAGCTTACCTGGTGCTCAAAAGAGTTCTTTCTCCATATTGTAGCTATTTTACATACCCCTTTAAAGAGCAAACCCTGGAAGAGGAGGAAGTTATGATGCATCAGCTTGACAAAGCAAGTTACTTTATGGCTCATAATGGCTGGGTGATGGGAGATGATCCTCTGAGAAATTTTGCTGAACCAGGTTTGTGATTCTGAATTCTTTCTCTTCTACATGCCTTTCACTAATATAGCTGAATAAAATTTCTATGGCCATTTTCAGTAATTATTTCATATTAGCTCTTTATTGCAATAACTAGAGACCTTTTTTTTAGAAAATGCAAATTTCCTGTGAGCTGCCTGCACTTAGGTTCTGAATCAAAACTTCCTCTATCAGAGATTGATTAACCCCTGATAGATGTATGTCCATTTCTTAAGGTCAATGTCTATACACAATAATAATAATAATAATAATAATAATAATAACAACAACAACAACAACAACTGGCACAAGCCAGTAAAAGTGGTCCCAGTGGTGATCAGCACACTGGGTGCAGTGCCTAAGGACCTTGGCCAGCACTTAAAAATGATTGGCACTGACAAAATTACCATCTGTCAGCTGCAAAAGGCCACCCTACTCGGATCTGCACGCATTATCACACAGTCCTAGACACTTGGAAAGTGTCCAACATGTGATCCAATACAACAGCCGGCATGGTGATCTTGTTTGCTGTGTACTAATCTTGTTGTATATGAAATAATAACAACTTTATTCTTGCATCCCGCCATCATGTCCCCGAAGGGACTTGGGTCAGCTTACACATGACACAAGGTGCCTAAAAACAGAACATAAAATAAAACACCATTTAAAATCCAATTGAACAAAACATATAGGCACATAAAACAACAACTTAAAACTCAATTAAAACAGCGCTCATCAACCAATAGCGGTAAGCTACTGTAAACATGACCAGGCTGTAAACAATTAGACAGAGAATGGGATATGTTCAAAGCTGTAAAAGAGGAATTGTGTGACCTGTTATTTCATAAGCATCAATTCTGAATAAAAGTTATATGTATTAAATATATTAGGTTTCACAGATAAATGTGTAAGATTACATGCACTCTTGCTTCCACTCTCAAACATGACTGAAAGAGAAATGCCATCTATTCTTTTCAATCCAACTAATAGTCACTTGCCTCCATACTTCTGGTGGAGTTGTTTAGATCAAACTGTTGGGCAAAAATGAATCAAAAGGTATAAAATCATTAAATTGTTTACCTAACCTCTTTATTATGTTAATAAGCATTATAGTACCATTTGTTTTGTTCTATCTCAGATAAACTGAATCTTTTCTCTTCTTTGCTACTGCAATATTTACTGTAGTTCTGTATCTCTTGTCAGCTGCCACTGAATTGAAGTTGCTTTTGCTTATAACATGGGAGCAAGTGTTCCAAATCACAGCCTTGACATAACACCTAAATGTAGTGCTATTTCCTTTTGAACAGGGTCAAATGTTTATCTGAGGAGAGAGCTCATCTGCTGGGGTGACAGTGTCAAATTACGTTATGGGAACAAACCAGAAGACTGTCCGTATCTTTGGGCACACATGAAAAAATACACTGAAATTACTGCCAAGTATTTTCATGGAGTACGTCTGGATAATTGCCATTCAACGCCTCTTCATGTAGCTGAGGTAAAAAGAAATTGTCTCCATGGAACATATATAAAAATTTACAAGCAGCATTTAATTCTATAAGTACCTTCAGATGTTTAGTACATAATTGGTTGTTTTGGCTTTTCTGCTGCCAGGTGAGGGCCCTCTAAACATACTTCTCAAAGTGCTGGTTTGCCTAGTGAATAGTAAAAAAGCAGATTTTCAGTCTGTGTATAGGCCTGGCAGTTATGCATGTATTAATTAGATGATGAAATCTGTCTGCATTTCAAAGTAATGCAGTTTGACAACACTCAATGTTACGGAATCATGGGAGTTGTCGTTTTCAAGGTTTTGGACTTTCTTTGCCAAAGAGTGTAAGTGCCTCACCAAATTACAACTCCCAGGATGATTTTTTAAAAGATTGTTTTTTGAAGGAAATTTGAGGTTAGGAGAAGCAAACAGCTATGATCTGGGCAGATTTTGGACATCTTGGGGTAAAAAACCGTATACAAATCAGTCCAGTGTTATAAAGAAAATTAGTTTGGGGGATTTTTGAGATTTCTGAAACTGTACTTGGTGCAGGCAGCCTGTAGGTGGCACTACATCCACCTCTGAAGTACAAATTCATTGTTTATTTAAATTACCTAAAATTAATTTGCTTTAATTACCTAAGTGAGGATTTTCACCCATGCATTTCTGCAGTGTTAGGGAGAGCATCTTTGCCATGTACCTGGAGATATGCATGTTGTAAGGAAGTTGATTTTTTTAAAAAAAATGAAATGAAATGTGTTATGGTCTATAGGAGATGCTGGCAGCTGCCAGGGCAGTCAGGCCTAACCTTTATGTGATAGCTGAACTCTTCACGGGCAGTGAGTTAATTGACAATGTCTTTGTGAACCGCCTTGGAATTACCAGTCTGATTAGAGGTACCAGAAAATCCCCCGACCCCCATGCTTGAAGGTTTGTTGCAGGTTTGCTGTGTTACATGATTCAAAGCATCCTTTTGTGGAACTAACTTTGTGGTTTTATTTGTATTCACTCTTGTGTCCTTTGCCTATTCTCCCCACTTCTTTCCCCGCTATTCTGTTGGTGCTTCTCTCTTTTTTTTAAATTATTTTTTGCATCTTAATACTCAATTCCTTGGCTTTCTTCTAAATTTCATGCATATTCATAACTGAATGTTCTTCATTCTTAAATATTTGGCTTCCTGGTTTTTTGTCTTGCTCCGTGGCCTTTTCCCTGTTGTCCAAACCCATGCCTAGCCTTGCATCCTTTCTTTTCTCCTCTTCTGCCTTTCTCCCCTCTGTTGCTTCCTTGGCTGTGCTTTCGCAGTTCATGATGGATGCGGCTAGAAAACTGCGGCCCAACTTGTATGTAGTGGCTGAGCTGTTCACTGGCAATGAGGAGCTGGACAATATCTTTGTGAATAAACTGGGCATTAGCTCTTTAATAAGAGGTAGGCTTGCTTTACATTTATTTACTTCTCCTTGGTTTATGCATGATATGCTAGGTGCAGTGAACATTAATATGCATAGTTTGTTTTTCATCTTGTTTTTATAAATATAGTATTGGGACTACTTTCACAACAGTCATAAGCATTGGGATGAGTATTATGAGAAGGTATATTGAATAGGGCAGAGGTAGTAATGGCCACCATCTAATGCAGTGGTTCCCAGCCAGTGGTCCATGGACCACCAGTGGTCTACAAGAACTTAAATATGGTCCACGACCTCACCATTACTACACCATTGCTATGAGAGCAACTGGTCTCACAAAACCCTCTTATAGTGCCAAGGCTTATTAAATATGGTTTTCCGTGAGTGTATAAATGGTGACTACTGGATGGCATATGTTCTGTATCAGAAACTAGAGCTGGTGTGGTCTATCCAATGCAATTTTCTGAATCGGCACCCCAAATAACCTAACCGAATCTAAAGTTGACCAAAAACAAATTCTTAACCCTTTTTGTACTAATGTTGGAGACTGGTCCTTGGTCAAAGTAGTCCCTGGTCAAAAAAAGGTTGGGAACCATTGATCTAATGCCTTTTCAGTATGGATAGTATGTGTAGTCTTCATCATGGTTAATGGTTCCATTGGTACTGAGTTAACTATGGTTACGGTTAACCACATTCTGTCTTGAGTAGCCTTTGCTAATGGGGGCTTGCAAAGGGAACATAAATATGTGGTACATGTTGATAAAGAGTGGTGTCATACTAACATCCTGTCATTGTTATGAATGTTAGAATTTCATGCTCCATAAAATAAGTAATGGAAGGGAGGAGAGCAGGTGCTTCTGTAATACATCACCAATCTTTTAACCATGATTGAGGGATAGGCTGTGTGAGTTTGAAGATATTAAGAACTTGGCATAAATATGAAATATGATAATATAGACCTCTTCAGATGCTGTTTTTCTCAACATGGTATGCAGATAAGCAAACCCCTGGGCACATGCTTATCTCAGTTATCTTCCACCGCTCTTTCCAAGCGAGAAAAGTAATGACCAAACTCACAGAAAGACAGATGGCATTTCCAAACTCACATAATCCATTTATTTTTCCCTAGTAAAACAAGCTTATGGGATAAAGGAATAGATAAATGAAATATTGGCTTCTATTTTGGATTTTCCATCAAGCGGGGAAAAGATTTCCCCTTAATGTCAAATTGAGTAAAACAGAGCCTTTCTGAAATATTTTTTCTTGGGTCCCTAGGGTTGTAGCTCTCAGTCAAGATCAATGTCTTGAGTGAATATTGATTATGGAAAGATGCCCTAGATTTTATTGGACACCAAAAATCAACTGTTCTTCATATAAAACAGGAGTGGGAATCATGCAGCCCTCCTGACGTTGCTGGACTGCCACCACCTGCCAGGGTTGCTGAGAGTTGTAGTGCAATAATATCTAACAGGCTGCATGATTCCAATCTCTGATCTAAAAGCTCATCTGATTTCCCCTCTCTGTTTCTGTAGAGGCAATGAGTGCATACAACAGTCATGAAGAGGGAAGATTAGTTTATCGCTTTGGAGGAGACCCAGTTGGGTCTTTTGTTCAACCACGTTTGAGACCCTTAACACCTGCTATTGCTCATGCCCTATTCATGGACATAACGCATGATAATGAATGTCCAATTCAGGTAAGCGGTATAACTCATTAATTGTCCAAGTATATGCAAAATTAAATAGGCACTTTCTGTGTAGTAAACAGTGCTGATTTTATTACACATGTTAGCTACATAATAGTGCTTGAAAGTGTAATGATCTATCTCCAAACAAGGTTTTCTGTTACATGCAATTAAAATTAAAATCATTTTCAAAATATTATCACTTGTGACAAAATGTTAAATATAAAATTAATTTACACTCGCTAACAGTGAACTTTGTGGTGCTGTCATGTGCGTGTTGACTTAGAAATGAGTTTTGATGTGTTAAAGCTGATTCCTAGTTTTTATGTGTGGGGAGGTTTTTTTTAAAGAGAAAAAATAATTACCACCTGCAGACTGAATCAGTATACACTACATAAATACCTCCCTTGCAAAGTATTTCCAAAGACAGGCTGAATACCCTATTGTTATTGTTGCTGTTGTTACTATGGATGCTGTTCAGGCTTCCTGCATTCAGCAAGGTGTTGGATTAGCCTACAAAAACTCCCTTGAGTTCTATGATACTAATTTTATCATATTCGGGGTTTTTTGTACTGAGGACTAGGTTTAATTCATGCCTTTCCATTCCAGATCATGACTTTTGACACCTATCCTTTTTTTTCAGTGGGCATATTATGTAGAGATGTGCAATTCGGCTAAAAGGCATGCCGTTTTGGGATCCATTGTCGACTGACCCCTCACTCTTTTTACCAGGAGGTTACTCGAATGGGGAGGGGTTTTGCCACTTTCATTTGGCAAAGATTCAGCCCATTGGCTGCAATGGGAAACTTTAAAGCAGTGGTTCTCAACCTGGGGTCCCAGGTGTTTCTGGCCTTCAACTCCCAGGAATCCTAACAGCTGGTAAACTGGCTGGGATTTCTGAGAGTTGTAGGCCAAAACACCTGGGGACCCACAGGTTGAGAACCACTGCTTTAAAGGTTCAATCCTCAGCCATTTTAAGGCCTATCTGCATGAAACCTGTTTCTTCTCAACGGCATTGAATTGTTGCCAACACTGTGAACTGCTCAGAGTCCCCTTCAGGATTGAGAAGGGTGGCATACAAATACTGCAAATAAATAAACCTACCTCAGTTTTAGACCCCATTTACAACTGCAGACCTGGAAAGTTTCAAAACAATTCATCAATCTGCTATTTTTAAAAGAATTATTTTAAGTTTTAACCATAACATTTTTTTTAAATAAGACAAAACGCATGAGAGGGTTCTGAGAAGTGTAGTTACCAGTTATATCCATTCTCAGCCAATCAGTGCATGGACATGACCAGGTTTTTTTATTGGCTGAGAAACAGAGAGACAGAAAAACTTCAACTCCCATCATGCCCTGAGAGGAACTTTTCAATTTCCGCCCTATCCAAGTGCTGCTGGGAAAGCAGGTTCCTAGGGCCCTCTCTGGAAGAGGAGGGAGCTTTCAAGGAAAAATTGAATGGAGACTGCTTCTGCTGGGGAGAGAGAAAAGAGGGGCAGATCCCTGCCTCAGGTCTATTACAGACTTATCTCCTTCCTCTCCAGAACTGATAAAATCTGGCTCCCTTAATCCGTTTTGCCAGGCTTTTTGTCTCCCTCCTCCCTGCTCTGTTTTTGGAGATTATATTTAAAAGTCCACCAAAAACTACAAATCATTTTCATTCAAATTGATTCTAGTCTAGGTCTAATTATATGTAGAAATGTGCATGTAGGTATCATATTGCATATTCTGTGGGTCATTAGGGAATCTAGCCAAAGTCACAAGTTGAACATTGTTTATCTGAAATGCTAGGGACCAGAAGTGTTTTGGATTTTGGATTCTTTTGGATTTTGGAATACCTATATTTCCATATATGTGCATAATGAAATAATTTAGAGATCGGACCCAAGTTTAAACACAACATTCATTTATGGGTCATATGCACCTTATGCACGTAGTCTAAAGATAATTTTTTACTTTTTTTTTTTGTCGTGTCAGGAGCAACTGCTCCTGTTGTGAGAGAATTGGCCGTCTGCAAGGACGTTGCCCAGGGGATGCCCAGATGATTTCTGATGTTTTGTCATCCTTGTGGGAGGCTTCTCTCTTGTCCCCGCGTGAGGAGCTGGAGCCGATAGAGGGAGCTCATTCGTCTCTCCCGGGATTCGAACCTGCGACCTGTCAGTCTTCAGTCCTGCAAGCACAGGGCTTTAACCCACTGCGCCACTATGTTTTTAATATTGTGTAGCACAAAGCGACGCCTGTGTACATTAAACAGTCAGAAACCAAAGGATTTGGGACTATTTCAGATTTTGGAATTCCAGATGAGGGATGCTTAACTTGTATCAAACTCCAGTGTCTGCATAACATGTATGCAGGATTTATGCTCAACTATTTCTCAGAGTCAATGAAATTCTGCACTGTGGTAGATGGGACAACATAGATGCACTGTTTCTGGGGGGTTTTTCTCTGCATATGATATAGAGGAAAGCCTCTAATGTTACCTAATCCCCCTTCCACTCAGTACATCCCCTGCAGTGCAAAAACACCTCCCCTAAAAGTTAAGAGATGCTCAGGAAAAATTCAGAAAGAAGATTATTTAGGTCATCTCTGGATACACAAACCCATATGGGTGCATATAGGTGTATGCAAGAGGCCAGTGGAATTGACTGAATTTGTCTTGAACTTCTTAATGCCAGCATCGATCAGCTTATGATGCCCTTCCCACCTCAACCATTGTGTCAATGGCCTGCTGTGCTACAGGAAGCACTCGAGGATATGATGAGCTGGTACCACATCAGGTATGTGTTTTCACAATATGTTTTCTCCTTGTACACAATATTAGAGATAGTCTAACAATGAGTATCCATTCTCTACTCATATCTTATCTGTGTTAGATGAAGGACTATTTCTGAAAAAGCCCCAGAAGCTTCTCTTAGTGCAGAATGTAATGGTCAGAATTTTAACAGGAAACACCAATTCTATTTGTATCTGCCTGCTGCTTTAGTTCTGCACCCAATTCAAAATTGTGGTACTTATAATTAAAGCCCTAAATCAGTTATGTATGTATATATGTATATATGTATTTTATATGCTACATTTCTCCCATATGGGACCCAAAATGGATAAGCACTTGAAAAACAACTTACTTCAGTATCAGCTTATCAGCACAATAAGACTGTTAGATCAATGCCCCTTCTCCACATTCTCCTTCAGAAGTATAGATCATTACATTTCTATAAAAAGAGAGAAAATTGTAATGTTTTTTTTTCAACTGCAACATTGGAGATATAGAGTTCTTTCTTCAGGATGTTATGCCTAACATCAAGTATACTGATGTCTCGGGCAACAATGTTTTTATTTCTCTTAGACACTTCTAGAAGATTTGAATGTGTTATTGACGGCCTTGACTAAAATGACAGCAAGGTCGATTTGCACTGAGCTTACTGAAATATACTATTTAATTCAGGGGTCTCAAACTAAGGCCCGGGGGCCGGATACGGCCCTCCAAGGTCATTTACCTGGCCCTCACTCAGTGTCAACCTAAGTCTGAAATGACTTGAAAGCACACAACAACAATCCTATCTCATCAACCAAAAGCAGGCCCACACTTCCCAGTGAAATACTAATGAGTTTATATTTTATTTATTATTATTTATTTACAGTTCTTATATTCCGCCCTTCTCACCCCGCAGGGGACTCAGGGCGGATTACAGTAAACACATATATGGCAAACATTCAATGCCAGTATGACAAACAACATTTAACAGACAAAGACAGAGGCTATTTAACTTTTTCTGGCCCCCAGGGGAGCTGTCGCTTTCATCGTCCATCTGCGACACTGATGAAGTACTTCCGCATTCCCAGCTGGAGTGCTTCTTTTTTTATGGCCTCATAAATTAGTTAAATTTAGCCTCCCACACAAGGTGGTCCCTTATTTTCCTACTTGACAGATGCAACTGTTTTTCGGGTTGCAAAGGTCGACAACAGGCTACACAATGGCTGGACACCCACTCCAGCCCGGGCTGGCTTCGAACTCATGACCTTTTGGTCAGAGTGATCTTAATGCAGCTGACACTCAGCCAGCTGCGCCACAATCCCGGTGCTTTGTTAAAATTGTTCTTCATTTTAATAATTGTATTGTTTTTAAGTGTTTTTGCACTACAAATAAGATATGTGCAGTGTACATAGAAATTCATTCATTTTTTTTTTCAAATTATAATCTGGCTCTCCAACACTTTGAGGGACTGCGACCTGGCCCTGTTTAAAAAGTTTGAGGACCCCTGGTTTAAATGAGTCTCCACAATAATTGTAATTGGTTTAAAATGTTTTTAATGCTTAATATTTATTGTATCTTATTTCTGGATGTTATGCTTTGTGTGATTTTTGTCTTGTATTTTATGTTAACTGTGCTTTGATCTGTATTGTACAGTATTATATTGTGAGTCACTTTGGGCCCCGTTAGGGAGAAAAGCAGGATATAAATAAAGATTTATTGTTGTTGTTGTTGTTGTTGTTGTTATTACTATTATTATTATTATTATTATTATTATTATTATTATTATTAAATATTTTAAACCTTCTACATCTCCACATTTTTAACCAGGAATGGGAAAAGTGCAGCCCCTTATTTTGCAGCCCCTAATTCCCCTCAAAAGCTTCTCAACCTCTCCCCGGGTTTATATGAAATTTCTGTGGTAATTTTCAGGAAATTTCTGCCATAATACTATGAATAAAACCCTTCACCCCACTCCCACAACTGCTCCCAAACCCTCCCAATAAATCCATTTTTCTCTGGAGATATCTCAAAATGGTGACAGGAAAACATGAAGAATGATTTCCTATCATCATCTTGAGATGGACTGCAGAGGAAAACAGAGATATGTGGGCATGGTGGAGAGGTATGGCTCTATAGGGAAGTAGTCTGGGAGGGAAATCAGCCTCTACCCCCAACAACCCACCCTGTTCTATGCTTTAAACATCTATTACACTTTTATTTAATGGTTGTTTTAACTGCATTCTTATCGTTCATATCTTATGTAAATTAGTAAAGTTAAGTAAATACAAGTTTATGGAGGTACTACTATTGCAGCAGAAGAGCCAGGTTGGTGTAGTGGTTTAAGTGTGGGGCTCTGGAAGAGCGTGATTTTAGTTACTGCTCAGCCATGAAAATCCTCTGAGTGACATTCACCATGTTATACTTATTCACCCTTAGAGAAGGACAATGACCAACCTTCTCTGAATAAATCTCACTTAGAAAACTCTATGAATAGGGTCTCAATCGTTCAGAGGAGAATTGAAGGCACTTGACAATAACTGTTGCAAAATTGGTACAGATATATGATACAATCTTTAGAAATAAAAGCAATAATAGAGTTGCTACTTTTCAATTTATGTGCAGATTTCTGTGGTTGATGAAGAACGTTTTTATCCAAAATGGAATCCAGCGGCAACACCTTTGACAGCTGGTGAAGTTAATTTCAAAACTGGAATTATAGCAGGAAGGCTGGCTATCAACAGACTGCATCAAGAATTAGGAGCAAGAGCTTTTAACCAGGCAAGGAATGAAGCAGTCAACTTCAGAGAGTGACTAGTTGGCTCAGTTGTTATTTCACTGTGGGGAAAATGGGTGGGAAGCAGGAGACTGGAGAAACCAATTGAGGCGTAGAGTTTCTTGGTGTTTGTCTTCTTGATCAGGATGACACTCTCCCTTTTGGCACTTGGTGAGAAGAAATTTATTCGACTTATATGTAAATATAGTCCAGTTTTATCATTTGCTGAAATGCACAGATAGTTCAGGACCACTAAAGATCCTGAACCTGCCTTAATGTTTTCTGGGCAAGAGTTTGATACCATGATTTTATTTATTTATTGTGTCAGAAGTGAATTGAGGGTACAGTTATAATGTATTTAAAAACACAAACGAAGTTTAAAACTTGGCATTACACTAAATGTCCTTTGACCAGAAGCTGGCCACTTGGAGTGCCTCTGGTGTCACTGTAAGAAGGTCCTCCATTGTGCATGTGGCAGGGCTCAGGCTGCACTGTAGTAAGTGGTCTGTGGTTTGCTCTTCCCTGCACTTGCATGTTGTGGACTCCACTTTGTAGCCCCATTTCTTAAGACTGGCTCTGCATCTTGTGGTACCAGAGCACAGCCTGTTCAGCACCTTCCAAGTCACCCAGTCCTCTGTGTGCCCATGTATCAGTGGTTCCAGGTTTTAGTCTGCCACTTTTAGACTCTTACTTGCTGAGGTGTTCTTGTGAGTATCTCTGTAGATCTTAGAAAGCTGTTGCTTGATTGATGGCATTGGCATGCTAGCTGATATCCGAACAAAGGATAGGCTGGAGATGCCACTGCCTGGTCCTTTCATTATTGGCTGCTACTTCTTGATTGGTGTCAGATGGTGCAATACTAGCTAAACAGTATAATTTCTCCAGTAGGGTGGGGCGTAGACATTCTGTGATAATACGGCATGTCTCCTTCAGAGCCGCATCCACTTGTTTAATGTGGCGAGATGTGTTCCACACTGGGCATGCATGCTCAACAACAGGGTAGCAAAGCACAAGGGCAAATGTCTTCACTGTGTCTGGTTGTGATCCCCTGGTTGTGCCAATCAGCTTTTGTATATTATTTCTAGCATCCAATTTTTACTTGATAGCCAAGCAGTGCTTCTGTATTCAGCAGCAGAATATCAAAGCACAAGGGCAGATGTCTTCACAGTGTCTGGTTGGCCATGATTATAATGTATTTTCTTAGCAAAAAAATCTTTTAGGTATTTGTAGATCAAGTTGATGAAGATATTGTAGCTGTGACAAGGCATTGTCCCAACACACATCAGTCTGTTGTAGCTGTTTCCCGGACAGCTTTCAGAAATCCCAAGACGTCCTTCTATAGTCAAGAGGTTCCCCAGATGTGTATTCCAGGTAATATTCTTCCTCAAAACCTTTCACCCTTTTATCTTTGTGTTTGGCTTGGAGTTCTAAAAATAAACACATCTCTTACATTGGGTACACAATCTCTTCATACTTACAAAAAAATTCTTAAATTATTTGTGGTGGCTAATGGATGGTCAAATTAATCAACCCTAGCCTATTGTGTGGCTGGCTTATTCATTCTCACTTGTAAACTTGCCTTTACTGATCATAATAATGAATATTTTGCTTGTTGTCATTTACACATTGTCTTTTCCCTTACATCCTTTGCACAGGGAAGATTGAAGAAGTGGTACTTGAGGCTAGGACTATTGAGAGAAATGCTGGTCCTTATAAAAAAGATGAGCATGCAATTAATGGATTGCCCGACTACACAGTTGAGATCCGAGAACATATTCAGGTAGCTTTATCTTCCTATTTTTCCATTTTCTTCAAAATGAGACCACCAGATTAAAATGGTGTACTATATTCACCTTTTTTATTTTTGTGACAGCTCACCGAAAGTAAAATCATACGGCAAGCTTCAGTTGCTACAAAAGGCCCTAATGAATTTGTCCAAGAGATAGAATTTGAACAGTTGACTCCAGGAAGTGTAATTGTATTCCGGTAAGAAGTGATTGCCTTTGCTACACAAAATATTTGGTGGCCACTATACCCAGCACAATAATTTAGAATAGATGACTCTAAAGGAGTGAAGAACTCCAGCTTTTTAGATGTTGCTGAACTGCAGTTCCCATCAGACCTAACTATCAGTTCTGATGGGAATTGTCATCCAACAGCATTGAAGGGCTCTAAAGATGTCCTTGTTCCTAGAGATAATGTCAGAGTGTCCATATTAACTTGTTAATTGATGCAAATATTTGTAGAGTTAGCCTTGACCCGAAGGCCCAAGATGCTGTAGGCGTACTCCGGAATCACCTGATCCAGTTCAGTCCTCACTTTAAATCCGGAAGTCTTCCTGATGATGGTTCAGAGGCTATACTCAAGACACCTTTCTTAAAGTAAGTACACCTCTTAACAATAATGTTAAGGGAGAGTGGTAGGGTATTTCTGTCATTGGAACTGGGACTGAGGAACTCTCTCCTCCCCTAATATACCTGCAAAAGCTACTCCAGAGCAGATTTTCATAGAGTTCAAGGAGATGCAGCAGGGAGGAAAGAGGGCAAAAGTCTGCAACAGAAATATGCTAATGCAGTGCTTGCTGGTAGTAGCAATATTTTCTTTGGCCATGTATAAGATGGCAAATTAGAGTAGTAAGTATAGATCCGGATTATGTAATAACCAGGCCAGAATGGTAGGCTAGGTTGATATGAAGTAAATAAAAAGGACTCTGCAGCATCTCTGCATCTTGAATTTGTATTGTTGCACCATTATGTAGTGAATGTAAAGCTTGGCATGGATTTTTCATAAAACATAATAGAATTTATGCAGTGCCTAACATATATATAATAACAAAGAATATTTTCTAATGTAGTCAATTTCTGGTTCTTCCTCAGCATTGCATCAAAATTAACCTTGGCAGACCTGAACCAGATACTATATCGCTGTGATTCTGAGGAACAAGAGGATGGTGGAGGATGTTATAACATACCAAACTGGACTCCCCTTAAATATGGTGGTCTTCAAGGTGAAAATGCTAGCTCTTAAGTTCTCCTAACCTAACTGTAAATGGTTCTGACCCAGTTTACGTATCCGAATGTATCTCCCTCTATGAGCCAGCAAGGAGATTAAGATTTTCTGGGGAGGCCTTGCTATCAATCCTGCCTCCTTTGCAGGTGCGGTTGGCAGGAAAGAGAGATAGATCATTCTCAGTGGTGGCCCTCAGCTATGGAACTCCCTCCCGAGTGAAATTAGATCAACTCCCTCCCTCCTGTCCTTTAGGAAAAGGCTAAAAACATGGATGTTTGACCAAGCATTCAGTTGAGTAATCTATCACTACAATAAAGAAAGTTGAAATAGTGCAATGACAAACTGGAACGGCCGTGAACTACGATATTGGATTACGTGATTTTAAATAAATGATTTTAAGGTTTTATATGTTTTAATTGACTGTTTCAATGCTTATGTTTTATTATGTGTGTTTTTGGCATCGAATTATTGCCTATATATGTAAGCCACCCCGAGTCCCCTATGGGGTTGAGAAGGGAGGGGTATAAATACAGTAAATAAACATTAAATAATAGCTGTCTGTATGCTTTCACTCTGTAGACCAGGCATGGATAAAGTTCAGCCCTCCAGGTGTTTTGGACTCCAACTCCACAGTTTCTAACAGCCAGTAAGCTGGTTGGGATTTCTGGGAGTCGAAGTCCAAAACACCTGGAGGGCTGAAGTTTGCCCACCTGCAAGTGTAAACTAAAGGCAATGCATTTGCCACATAGTCTGCTTTACTGGGTGCATTCCAAATTGTCGTCCTATCTTTGTTATATGTCTAGTAGCCTTAGACACAAAACTTGGTAGTTTGCCTCACAAGCTGCTTTGCTTAGTGACACTAAATTAGATAATAATTTAGTTACTTAAATGCTTTTTGAATTGCCCTTCATCCTTTCAGTTTGCAATAGGACAGTGGACAAAAACAATGTAAACAATAATAACATTGATATGCATTATTGTCCTCAAAGCAAAATGAAGAGAACGTTCCAAAATTGGGGTGCCATAGTCAAGCAAGGTTTTTCACTTGAGGGCATATGGAGTATTGGGAGAAGAATCTCGCAATGTTCTAATGTGGAAACCAATATGCAGGAGGTATTTTGCAGATAGTTGAGTTCTAAACCATTAGGGCTTTGAGGGTAGTTGCCTTAATTGTCAGTTAGAACATGAACTCCCTATCTAGGAACACTTTTAACTGGTGAATGAGCAAAAACAGATAAAAGTCACTTCAAGCCACAGAAACCACTGGAATTTTAAGTTATTGTGCTATATCAAGAAGAACCCCAAGCAGCAAACCTGCTCTTTCAGTGTATCCAGCCTGTTACTAACTGTAACACTGATTCAGCATTTGTACAACCTCACTTGCCTCAAATAACCAGGAGAAATATAACGTGTATATCATCAATATAGATGACATTTATATGCAAATCTGGTAATAACATCACCAAGTAACTTCATACAGTTATTACAGAATGTAGGAAATAAATTATTGTGACACTAATTGATACGTTGTAGGGCTGAGTAATAATCTTTTAGTGTCAATTTCTGAAGCCAACCCTGCAGGTAGGAACAGATTCATTATATTACTATCCTTCCAATAGATCCAGTCCAAGAGGGTACATGGTTGGTGTTATCAAAAGCTGCCAAGGGGACAAGGCATATCAACACAGATAGGTCTTTTTCTAAGGCAGCCAAAGTCTTTTTAGTACCAAATCTAGCTTTTGGATTTGGTCTGGGTAATCTGCCTCCCACAGCATCTGATTTAAGACACTGCCATCTTCTGATTGTTCTCAAACAATAAGAGGAAATGTTAGTGACCAGAAAATAATTTTTCAAGGCCTCCAGGTTCTCCCAGAGAGTTTTTTTCTGTTGCCTTTTGAGCTTTTTTATATGACTACAGGATGAAAAAAGATACCAAAAGACCAGCTTCAATAGATATGTATTCTCTAATAAGAGCAGTACTCTCATCTGACAAGCATGACAGTCAGCCTTCCTCACTGCAAAAAAACAGACAAGTCTCCATTCAAAATCTGTCTAGTGCTTCTACTGAAGCAGAATCAGATGGCACACTAAGCAACAAGCCAGTCCAAAAGCCAAGGTTTGTTCTTGGCTTACCATTCTGACTTTCTAGGAGAACAAACACACCAAGTCAGTTGCAATGCTAAACAGCTCACATGTGGTAGCTTAGTCTGGTTAGCTACTAACTTGGCGGAAAAGACCTAGGAGCAATATTGTGGAGTTGACTATATTACTCCTAGGCATTGAATGTCTGCCTTGTGTTTATATCCTGGACCCCCCTCCCCCGAGATCCCTCAGAGAGATAGGGCAGAATACATATAAATTGTTGTTGTTGTTGTTGTTGTTGTTGTTGTTGTTATTATTATTATTATTATTGACTGCTGTTCTAACCTGTTCATGATACAACACAAGTTCTGATTTTATTGTTATGTTCACACTGGTCCGCTAACTTTAAATGCAGTCCAATTTCACAGATTTTACAGATTTTCTCAAAGATGAGCCATAAGAGTAATTGATAAGATGTTAGTGGGGGTTTGTGGATTTTCTGTTCCCTTGGGGTGAGTAGTGGCCACTACTGTCACAGGGCTTTGGTTCACATGAGCGAATTGAACTGAATCCATCATGATCTTGGTTCCTTGTCTTTTCATTATTATTTTTGTAACTGTTGTCCATTATATTAAAACTTTTACCCATTGCTCCTGATAGTTTCATGACCTCTAATACAGAGCCATGTTTCTATGGACTTTCAGGTATTATGTCAGTGATGGCAGACATACGACCAAAGAATGATTTGGGGCATCCCTTCTGTGGCAACCTGCGAGCTGGAGATTGGATGATAGACTATGTGAGTGATCGTTTAATAGCCCGCCCCGGAGCCTGCTCTGAAGTAAGTTAAAACAACCCAAGGAATTTTTCCCCTGTAAGATGAAGTGTTACATATTAATTTCCAAGAATTTATTTTAATTTCAAATTTAAATTCAATGCTATATTTTTATTCTTTGTTTCATAGGTTGGAAAGTGGCTGAAAGCAATGTTTATCTACTTGAAACAAGTTCCTCGTTACCTCATTCCATGTTACTTTGATGCCATATTAGTTGGTGCATATACAACACTTCTTGACTTGACTTGGAAGCAGATGTCTAAGTATGTTTTTACTAACGTTATAGCAAACCTGACACAGTGCATGTGGTGTATAAACAATTCAATATGCTTCTGAATGTTTTATTTGCTTTTCTAAACAAACTCAGGATATATTTTGTAGCTAGATTGGCTGGCTGAATTCAAAAGAGATTCCCTCTGTCAATTTCCTGAGTTATTTGAAATATTTGCTGTAGAGTTTAACACTAGAGATAACAAATAGTTAACTCTTATTTCATCAGTGTTGGAATTTGGTTGAGTAATCCCAGTTCAAATAGATCCATTGAATAAATTATTGAATGAATAGTAAATATGCAGGTAAATCCCCTGCATTAATTTGGACTAACTAGGATTTAGAGCCATAGATGTTAATTCATTTACCTAGTGCAGTACTTCATTTATAACCAGTGTTAATAAAGTACGGGTCACTGTCTATTCTTCATTCACCTATATACTGAAATCCCTGGACAGTAGACCATACATCTAATGAAGTAGATTATAGTCCCCAAACACCCATGAGTTTTCAGAATTTTTTTTTAAAGTTGGTTTTAATATCAAAACTTAGGCCCAGGCTTTCTTGATGATTGTGTTTCCCTGCAGGAGCCTGTCTGAGTTTGCAATTTGTTTGTAAATACCTTTTTCTCAGAAGTTGCCACCAACGCACCTGGTGGAAACAGGAGAAGAGACCTTATTAATGGCTACTCTCAGGGTCTAGAACAGGCCTCTTCAAACTGTGGCCAACCAGGTATTTTGGACTTCAGCTCCCAGAATTCCTGACCATTGAACAAACTGGGCTTCTGGGAGTTGGAGACACAAACTCCTGGAAGGCCACAGTTGGTGCAGGGCTGGTCTAGAGGTTATTTCCATCAACTGTACCCACTGTGGTGCCAAACAGCTAGCAAAGAGCTCTCCATTCAGTCTGCCTTTTGGAAATTGCCTAGGAAGGGATGTGGATTATATTTATTTCAGTTGTCATTTTAATATGCTTGTTTAATCATGTTTTATTAATATAATTTATTGCCGTATGTCCTAGCTATACCTGCTTTCCTATTCACATAATCCGCCTTGCTCCCAGTATTGGTAGAAAATCAAAATATAAATTTAGTAAGGTATCACAAGTCTTTCATTTCATTTGTTGGATTTTCATTTGTTTATTATAGTTCGTACCCTATTCAAAGAGACTGTAGTGCACTGGGGGAAACAGTTTTAAAAACACTTCATTGCTTTGCACCAACCCACTATTAACTATTTCTTTATTATTTATTGTTACATTTATATTTATTTATATCCCACTTTTTCTCTCAAAACATCTTCTAGCTCTGTTAACAAGCAGCTGAGTTATCAATTCAGCTTCAATTTGGTGCCTAAATGTGATAGCTTATAGGTTCACTGATTGAATGAGGACTGAAAATTCAAAATGGATTCTGGACAGAGTGCTGAAATCTGCTAAATTTAGGAAATCAGAAAAAATCATATCCACTGTGCCGGCCTAAGGGGAAAAGGAGCTATCCATTTTGAACAAGGACTTGGGATATGATAATTACACGTAGCATAGTTGGAATAGAGGTTATTTGCCATCAATAGTATTAAGAACAAAATTACCACTGTTTTTCTTCTTGTCCTGACATCTGAAAAAAGGGAAACCAGTCTGTGCCCTTGAAATAATCCCTGTTAATTTAATTTACAGCTTTGTTCAGAATGGCTCGACATTTGTTAAACATCTTTCTTTGGGTTCGGTCCAGATGTGTGGAATAGGAAAATATCCTTCTCTGCCACCCCTGTCGCCTGCTTTACAGGATGTTCCTTATCGACTGAATGAAATTACAAATGAAAGAGAACAGGGCTGTGTTTCTTTAGCAGCTGGTAAGATGGGAACATAATTTGTGGGTTCCCAAAACTCACAGCCTTGAAAATAAGTGTAAATATTTTTTTTGCAGTAATTTGAAGCTTCTTTGCATAGCAGAAATAGAAGTTCTTTAGTCAGATTTGTCAAATCTTAGAGTCCAGGAGGTAATTCTACCCATCCATCCAGTAACCTACTGTAGACCATATCCGCTCCCAAAAAGAAAACTGAATATGAACATTAATCAGTTGGTGCATTTACACTGTAGAATTGATACATCTTGACACCACTCTTAACTGCCATGGCTCAGTGCTGTGGAATCATGGAAGTTGTTGTTTGGTGAGTCACTATCACTCTTTGGCAGAGAAGGCTGAAGATCTTGTATGATTACAGCTCTCATAATTCCATAGCAGCCATAGCAGTTAAAGTGGTGTCAAACTGCATTATTTCTACAGTGTAGATGCAGCCTATAGATTGCATAAAACCAAACATAGTGTGCATCTTGTGTTTAATTAGAGTTCCCATTCTTGGGAGCTTCTACAAACAGCAAAGCTCCAGTTACAAACCCAGACAGTGCTGACTAGATTAGAAAAATCATACCAACCACAAAACCTATTTTGGATTCACTGACGAATGCCTCTCTTGCACTTACCTAATGCAACAGCCAAGGATAACAGCTGAACCTCTGAAAAAAAGAGGCAAGTGTTCCTCAGCTGTTTGTACTCCAGTTGTGTTGAACTACAGTTCCCATAATTTTTAACCAACATGGCAATAGTGATTGGGTGACTGGTTGTTGTAGTCCAAAGCATTTGGTTGACACCATCTTGGGGAAGCTGAAATAAGTAAACTCCAGTATTTTCCCCCTAGAATAGAAATCCATTTTTATATTGACCACAAGGAAGAATTATCTGAGTAATTATGGTGAATGATTTTGTTGTTGAGTAGTTATTCTTAGCTGACAAAAATACAGACATTTTTGCGGATTTTTCTTTTGGCCAGAATGACAAGCAAAGTATTATATTTATTTAACTTTGTTGTTGTTACCATGCATAATTTTAGGCTTTTTGAGATGAGTATTTATTTTAAGCGTGTGCATTTATAAGCTACTCTTATGCTATGTTGATTCCCTTTGTTGATAAGATTTCTGTTTCTTTGAAACAGGTTCTGCAGTCTTAGAGTAATGCTGTTAGTTCATACTTCATTTATATGCAGTTTTCCTTGAACTACTTGTTGCTTTTCTTGCTTTAGTGTTATTATTTCTTTCATTGGCTCTATCTTAGATGCAGTTCCCATTTTCCCAGAAGTCTATTATCATAATATTTAATAAATATTTGTTTTCAGTTTGGGGCCCTGAAAATTGGAACATTAAGGGGAGGGGCTTCCCATCCACTGGCTCCCCTCCCCAGTATGAGCTTCTTAACTGGCACCTGCCCGCATGCCCCGGCCACCCACCACACACGCACTCTCAGAGAGTGCATGTGTGGCAGGGTGTGCAGGCAGGCCTGGAGCGTGCCTGCAGCCGAGCTCTGGGCCTGCCTGCATGCCCCATCACTCACTCCCTTTCCAAGGCAAGGAGGCTTTGGCCTGCAGACAAAAGCAGGCTTTCATGTCAAGCAGATTTTCATGAGGGGATGGGGCTTCTGGTTTCATGCTCCCAAAGAAACGGAAGACACAAAAGAAACAGTAGGAACGAATTCTAGTATATACACACACTTGTAGCCTAGTCATCTCACACTGTAAGTTTCAGAGTGATTCATAATATGCTGTTTTTACAAGTCGCAACATCTGATTTGACACTTCAAGCCTGATAATAGATGACTTCACAGTCTTTATTTTGATAGCTGTTCACAGTGAAACAAAGCTGACCCTCTAAAGACAAGACAGAGAGTAAGACCAAACCAAGGTATGGAGCCATTTTTGTAGAACCAGAGTAAGTAAGTTTTGTACATGTGTTTGCTTTATCTCACCTGTTCAGGTTTACCTCATTTTTCTTCTGGAATTTTCCGCTGCTGGGGAAGGGACACTTTCATTGCACTGAGGGGGCTGATGTTAGTTACAGGACGGTACTTGGAAGCAAGGTGAGATAAGTACATACTACAGTAGTTGTTTTTTTACTTGACTGTTACGTTATAAGGTTACCCTGGCATAAGTAAAAATAAATATTTTTAATAGCTGAAGAATAAACTGTTTTCTTGCTGTGGGTCTGACCCCTTGAAACTCTGTGGGCTTGTATTTGTATATTTTCCCCAAACAGTGGAAATATATACAATTTTAGGATTGATTACTTCATAAACCTACTTAAAGGCAGATCTTTCTCCACTTTTGATGCAAACATATAAAAATGGAAGATTAACATGATAACATGGTTGAAGATGTGTTTATTAATAGAAAATATTGTCTATACAAGTAATTTGGAACCTAAATTTTGTGTACAAAAACAAAGATCTATGTTGATCTTTGGGGAAAAAATAAAGTATATGTAGCTCAGGAATTTGCAGACCTGTAAACTTTTGTAACACTTGTTGGTTTTAATAAAAGTATTACTCAATATAAACTGTGAAAACATGTTAAACTGGAAAGTGTACAGGTTATATTTTCTTTCTTTCCATCCGACCCTCTCCCCCTTTTTATAGAAACATCATTTTAGCATTTGGAAGTACCTTAAGACATGGCCTCATTCCCAACTTGCTTGGCCAGGGGACTCATGCCAGGTTCAATTGCCGGGATGCTGTGTGGTGGTGGTTGCAGTGCATACAAGATTACTGTAACTTCGTTTCAAATGGCACTGACATTCTCAAGTGTCCTGTATCCCGAATGTACCCTACAGATGATTCCCCTCCTCTGCCACCAGGCCAAAAGGTAATTATAACTTGCCTTCTCTTGCAGCTCTGGAGAGAAATTTTCCTGTCATGTACTGATTTTTGCTCATGATATACAATTAGATCAGGGCTTCTTCTTCCATTCATGACCCCTTTCCATCTGATAATTTTTTGTGTAACCTCAGGTATACAGGTATATACAAAATAGGTGTAAAATTAAAAAAATACTGATAACAAATCAGCATTTGTAAGGATTGCTAAACAGACTGATTATCCTTTTCATGAAATACAGCTGAAGCATCTTCTTACAGAGTCTACTGTAAACACTGCACAACAAATTTCTGTAAATGCCTTTAATAGCCACTAGTAAGCGGTCAGAAACTGTTTACTGTTGCCACATTTTTCATGACCCCAACACTTTTTTTTTGTGTCAGGAGCAACTTGAGAAACTGTAAGTCGCTTCTGGTGTGAGAGAATTGGCTGTCTGCAAGGACATTGCCCACAGGACATCCAGATGTTTTATCATCCTATGGAAGGCTTTTCTCATGGCCCAGCATGAGAAACTGGAGCTGACAGAATCCAGCTCCCTGGATTCGAACCACTGACCTTTCGGTCAGCAGTCCTGCCGGCACATGGTTTTAACTCATTGTTCCACTGGGGGCTTCTACCCCAGCACTGAACTAAAGACCCCATTTGTGGTTGGACCCACATTTTCAGAAGCACTAATCTAGATTATTTGATCTGTTGAAGGTTGATAGGTGATCGTTGTTGCTCTTCAGGAAATTTAAACTAAGTAACATATCTTCATCATAAAAAGGAGATAGGCCCATTAAATGAATGGAACTAACAGAGACCAGAATGTAGGTTGGGATATCTGCATGTGTACGTGTCTCCTACCTGTGCAGGTGTTCTTTTTGTGATACTGCACTGGTTGGTATTCCCGTCCTCTCCCCACAACATCTAAAGCCCTGCTCCAAAGATACTGTAAAGCCTTGAAGCCACCTTGCAGGGCCATTCTGTGCTTTAAGGTCAGAATTGGGGAAATGTCTGGCAGAGTCATACACACAGCTAAAGAAGTGTTAAAATTCCTGGAGGTCCCCTGTGAAACTGAACAAAGATGTCATCCAGCTACTAGAAGAGTTAGGAGGGATGGTATATACAGGCAGTCCCCAAATTACATACAAGATACGTTCTGTAGGTTTGCTCTTAAGTTGAATTTATATGTAAGTTGGAACAGGTACATTTTTAAGAGTAACTGTAGCCAAAAATATATACACATATAAGCTTTGGATAGCATAGAAAAGTGTTAACACCCCTGTGGTGTTTGTTTTGCTGTCTGTGCCCCTGTTCAGAAGATTTCACCTCATTTTCTGTCTCTCTGATAATTGAATTTTGAAAAATTTGGCTTGTTGTGGAAACAAGGATTGGCGATAAAGCTTCAGTGAAGACACCTTTTCCTTACAATAACGCTTCCAGGAGTGAATTTCCCTTCTGAGGGATAGATTTATCTCACATCCTGTTGTCTCACCCCCGTTCTTACCTATGAGTCATATGTATGTCAGATGTTTGTAACTCAGTGACTGCCTGTAGTTCAACATAGCATAGGTCCCCAAGTGGATAAAGTCAGCACATTTGCTAGACTTAGGGGCCCATGACCCGTGTTCAAATTAAAAAATACAAATAAATTGTTTTTTACCAGCCTCTGCTGGAAATTGACCTCAGAATTGCTCTGGGGGACATAGAGATACCCAGAAAAGTGTTCTGTCTAGGAATCTCTAGGTCCTCCAGTATGATCTGAGGAAGTTGACTATAGAGTCACTCTGGAGGATCTCGAGATTCTTAGAACATTTTAATCAAATGCTTGAATCATCAAACCCACAAAAGTCAAACATACAAATATTGTAGACTAACTCTATTTATGCTATGCTGTGCAGATCTTGAATTGAAATCGGGAAGTGATGACTTAGCAAGTTCCTATTGATTAGATGGTTTACCTGGGTTTTGATTAAGAATTGGATTTAATCAAGTGTTTGGTGCTATTTGGGGCCCAAAGGTTAAGAAGGTATTTAATACAATTGTATTTAGAATACCAAGCAGATTTTGGCCTGGCCAATGGTTGAGAGGAGACTCACTGCGATTCTTCCATACAGCAGCCTGGGTTTTTAGCTGAAACAACAAAATCAAAATCTATTTTGTGTTCATTATTCTCTCCTTGGACTGGCAAATATATTGATTTTTTTCTGATAACAATAACTGTGGCAGTCTCCATAGAAAATGTAGAAAGTATAGGCTCCCAGAATTAGGCAGGCCAGGCAGTCTATTTATAGTCTGTGGGTGGTATAGCAGGAGGGAGACACTATTTCTTCCCAGGTTTTGGGAATCTCCAGACATTCAGGAGGCAAAATAGCATCCACTGCGCTTCAACATCCATCTTTTCCCAGGTGGACATTGAAGCCGCAGACCTCTCCAATCTGTGGTGTTTGTGAGCTGAGTGTTGGGCTAAATTCTGGAAACTAGTATCCTTGCTTGCTATGGAAACCCACTGAGTGATCTTGGATGTGTCAAACACCTTCATCCAAGTTTTATTACTCTGGCCCAGCCCAGTTTTATAGTGTCTTGATGTATTGTTTATTGCTCGTTGTTAATATTGCTTTAACTGTTTTTAATTTGCTTTAGGTGTTGTATTGTTGTGTTGTGTTTTGAGGCCTTGGCCTATGTAAGCCGCATCGAGTCCTTCGGGAGATGCTAGCGGGGTACAAATATAAGTTAATAATAATAATAATAATAATAATAATCCTCACAGGAAGTCAAAACCTTACTGAACAAACCTTGCCAAGAATACCCCATGATACATTTGCCTTAATGTCACCATAATACAAAAATGACTTCAAGGCACACGGCTACTAGAAATGCCTGCTTTCTAAGCAAACATACATTTCTGTCTTCCTGGGCTCATGCTTAAAAACTTCATTTTCTCTCTTTTTCTTTTCCCCCCTCCTGTCTTTGAATCAACCCAAACTCAGGATCAGCCGCTCTATGAACTGATACAGGAAGCTATGCAGAGACATATGCAGGGCATAGACTTCAGAGAAAGAAATGCTGGTCCACAGATAGATCGAAATATGAGAGATGAAGGTACGTATGTCATAGATAATGTTTTTTATTAACATTCTGATGCATTAGGGCTTCTCTGATGTTTATTTTCCTAGCAATTATATAAAGTAATCCTTCTGCTGTACTATCGTAAAAATACTTTGAAGTCTGTTTTTATGCCTGCTTAAACCATCTGCCAAAATACAGCATTTAAAACTTTATGTACCACTGTTCACTTTATGTTATCACATTTATGCAGTAAGCCCTTTTGTATATTGTTAACTGTGCTGAACTGGAAATCCTAATTCATTCTGATCAGGTATTATAATCAGTATGCCAAGGTGTCTTCCCCCTGCGGCTCATTCAAAATTCATCTGATTTTCTGGTTGGTAGGATTTAATGTGACTGCAGGTGTGGATATGGAAACTGGCTTTGTATATGGAGGGAACCGTTTCAATTGTGGTACATGGATGGATAAGATGGGAGAGAGTGACAGAGCTCGCAACAAAGGTATTCCAGCAACTCCAAGGTACAATATGAAAGTTTTATAGCAAGTGTGGACTTTTTCTGATCTACATTTGTTATGGAAAATCAGATTTTCACAATTAAATGAACAATTATAAAAGTTAGAGAATGAGTCCCCTTCGGGGTGAGAAGGGCGGCATGTAAATGTCATAAATAAATAGATATGTATTTGGATCACAACTCCCACCAACCTCACTGGTGTGAGAGAATCATAGGAATTCTGCTTCAACATCTGGAGCACTCCACATTCCTTTCCTCTGTTCAACACCCTACATCAAAGAGGAAACCTTGTATTTGAAAGCATGTATAGTTCCTATTTGGGAGAGGAGGATGCTTTGTGTACAATTTCAGTGATTGTATATATGCAGCCTATAATGACCTTATTCAACCAAAAATGTATGAGAAGTTGTTATGTTGCTTGCAGTTGTCTGGATCCTAACCTAATGCATGTTGTGAATCCTAAAGGTAAAAGTTTCCCCTGTCATTAAGTCTAGTTGAGTCCGATTCGGGGGGGGGGGGGAGTGGTGGTCATCTCCATTTCTAAGCCAAAGAGCTGGTGCTGTCCATAGACACCTCCTAGGTCATGTGGCCAGCATGACTGCATGGAGCACCATTACCTTCCCACAGAAGCGGCACCTATTGATCTACTCACATTTGCATGTTTTCAAACTACTAGGTTGGCAGGAGCTGGGGCTAACAGCAGGAGCTCACTCCGCTCCCCAGATTCGCATCACCAACCTTTTGGTCAGCAAGTTCAGCAGCTTAGTCGTTTAACCAATTACGCCACCAGGGGCTCCGGTGTTGTGAATACTTATTTGAAATCTGCTTTTCATCTTAAATTTCTATTAAGAACACAGTTATGTTTTGAAACTTGTCTTGTTTTTGTATTCAGCATTATGGACCTCATAATGCCATGCAATCAATCATGTGTCAGATATGTGAGCTGGTATCTATGTGATATGTCAATTGCTCATTTTATGGCACTATTCATATATGTGTTCCCACATAAATGTGGTGAGGAGGATCCCATGCAGTCTTATATCCTATTCATATTTCCAACAATACATGAATGATCACTAGGTTTCCTAATACTCCAGTTAAATTATGGTTTGGCATTGCTAACCTAGAGCAATAATGGTTCAGAAGACTTTATGTTAAGTTTCCTCTGTTCTTAGATTACTATGTGTAAACCTGATATAGTGGCTTATTACAAACTTCAGTTAGTTGAATAGTTTTACCAACCCATGACTTGATATTGAACTGTTTCTGAAACTGACTAAATTTGTTTTAAACCTCAGATTGATTGATTGATTGATTGATTGATTGATTGATTGATTGAAGTTTACAGACAACAAGAATCTGAGACTGGCAGAACCAATAAATGTTGTCACAACCTTCCTTCAGCAAAAGGGAAAGAGGAGAGAGTTTCTAAACCTGAGACTTGCTTGGGCTCATTCCAGCTCATGCATACATTATTCTAATTCATGGCTTAAAGAAAGGATGGGAGGTCCTCTTTCGACCAGATGGCCGAATTCAGTTTTAGAGAAGTTCTTGGGGGCTAAATTCCGCTGTTGGATTGTGTCAAACAAAAAAAGTGCCAGGATTCTGCATTTAAAGCTCACTGCTAGTAACTATGCAGTGAAAGATGAATTTCAAATTTCTAGAATGGGAAAACCACCAAATGATGGTATAATGGAGGCAGGATGTGGCCATTGGGGGACCTGGGAGAACCAGATTCAGCCCCAGGGCACTTCTACCTATATTTTAATTAATACAGGGCGTGAATGCAACTTGCATCTGAATGCTGTGGTAAATGTTCACAGTCTTAGATTGTTGAGACTATCAAGGACACAGAATGTTTATTGAAACAGATTATCTTCATTTGCAATTGTGCTATAAAACTATGTGTGTCTTCCTTCAGAGATGGCTCTGCTGTAGAAATTGTTGGCTTATGCAAATCAACAGTTCGTTGGCTATTGGAGTTGTCTAAGAAGAATATATTTCCTTATTCTGGAGTTACTGTGAAAAGACATGGTAAGTTGTCAGTTGGATATGGTACAATTGGAACAGAGACATGTCCTGCTACAACTTGTTTATTTGTTTACTAGCAGTAGTGGTAGTTCTATAGTGTTTTCAAGCATTAAATGCTTTTGGTGTGCATTATTTAGTAGGAATTCTTATAAAAATGCTGTATAAAGGCATAACTGTTACTGCTACTCTGATGATGATAATTTCCTTGAATATGTTGGCAAGGATCCTGTTGGTGACCTACTCTGGTGCAATGTCAGCAAAACACTTTCCCAAGTAGTTTGTAATAATGTTTAGTGGGGGGGGGGGGGGATGCAAACTTACTACAGAAGGAGAAAAAAGCTTTCTGCTAGCTCTGAACTACTTCGGAACCAGTTGGGCATCTTCCTCTCCTGATGGAGATTCTCTTCAAACTATTGCAATAAAGCAAAATCTGTCATAACAGAAAGGCACATTTATTATCATTGGGAACTTCCTGGTTGGTGGGGCGAGGGGCATTTTCTTTCCACACAGAGCTCTCCAGCTGATAGGAAGGGGTGGGAGGATAAAGGAAGCTATGTTGGCCAATAAACATTCAGTTTTCATCATGCTATATAGACAATGGACCGATCATACATCTGTTCTGTGTTTTTGCTCATAAACCTGGATGGGCACACCTTCTTTTTCAAAAAGAATACAGCATTCCCTAAATCTTACTTTTCTAGCATTAAGGCTCTTCCTTTCATCCACTGAAGAGAAAAAAATGGCCTTTACTTGAAAGTAGACACACATCAAGATTGGCATGAGAAGACCCTTAAGGTGTTGTTAAATCTGTTAATAAGTCCCACAAGGTGTCATCTTGTCTGCCATTCTCTTTACCATCATTAATCAAGTTGTGGAAAGTTTGACCCATGAACAACATGTGACCCTCAATGTAATTTTAGTACTTCCTAAATCAGCAACAGGAATATTTTACGAGGGTCTGCCTCCAGGGGCGAACCAAGAATGAGCAACTTGGAAGTCCCTGAACAGACTCAGAAGTGGAGTGGGCAGATCAAAAGACAACCTGGCAAAATGAGAATGCCTAAAAGAATCCTCCACCTTGGGTGGCTGAGGAGCAGAACAGACAACTCCACATCTATATGCTTGCCTGCCTCATGTACAGAAGAAGAATTGTTGGAGGCTACAGACCATGCAGTCGCAGTTGCCCATTTTTGGTCAAAAGATATTTAGCCGCTTGTGCTCCTTCTTTTTTATCAGTTTTATACTAATTTATGCAATGCTTTTGATACAAAATAAAATAAAAAGTAATTCCTTAATTTTCTGCAGAGGAAAAGCTTTCTGGATAACTTCCTTTAAAAAAAACACTCTCTTGAATCTTCAGCTGAAAACAACAACAACAACAACAACAACAACAACAACAAAACTTTATTTATACCCCACCACCATCTCCCATAGGGATTTGGAGTGGTTTACAAAATAGCAAACAAAGATGCCATACATAAAACATATAATACATAAAATAAAATACAACAACATGAAAACAATAATAACATTACATAAACCAGGTACATAAATTGGAAAACATGGCAATGCCCCCCTTGGGTGGGGAGCATTTGGAAACAAAAGGGGTTTTTTTTTCAGGAATGGGGAGTCAGCAGGGTTTGTGGTTCTTCAAGTCCCATGTAGTAAGTGAAAATGAAAAATAAGGAGCATAAAAAGGAGGGGAGACAGTTGCTACTAATAGCATCACTATGCTGTGTGGCATAGCAATACAGCTAACAGCATGTCTGCTTTTTATTTATTTTATGGATACTAACAGGTTGTAATAAGGTGATGTTTTTATGTTACACTCTTTTCCAGGGAAAGAAGAGACTATTACTTATGATGCGTGGAACAGAAAAATCCAGGCCCACTTCGAAAAGTTGTTCTTTGTGTCCGAGAACCCGTCTGATCCCAATGAGAAGCATCCCACTCTGGTTCATAAGCGGGGTATATATAAGGACAGCTATGGAGCCTCCAGCCCTTGGTGTGACTATCAGCTAAGGCCAAATTTCCCTATAGCAATGGTTGTGGTATGTCTTCTGTATACATGTTTTGTTGTCTCGTTCTCTCTTTTTTATTAATAAAATCACATATGCTTTCTCTCTTTTTTTTCCAAAATGTTTCAAAAATATCATTAAAATAAGTCTTTGTATACACAATAAATTATACTGTACTTAAATAATACTCTCATATTCATATCATAGCCTTAGATTGGTTTAGATTTTTATAGATCTTCCTGAAGTACACATATGTGGAATACTCTTCCTTGTCTCAGTAATATAAATTCTTACAAATGTTTGGCTATGAAACATAGCTCTATGGCAGAATAGTGTGCTACATCACATAAGTAATTATGAGGGATGATGGGAGTGGTAGTCCATCTGCAGGGCCATAATTGCATACTTTCGCCTTAGCTCACATAAAACCTGGAATTACCATTGAAAGGCCACTTATCTCTCATGTTTTCAGTAAGGTCTGTTTCCAGCCAAGCCACAGAAGGGGTGGTAGTTGTTTTAGAGCTGTGAAGTCTTTGGTACAGCTGGCATTTCTGTGGGCTGAACTACCTGCCCCGGTTGAGGAAAAGAAGGAAGGACTATGCCATTAAAACAGAAGACCTATATGATTGCATTTTTAAAATAAAAGGGCAATTTGAGTATTATTTTTAAATTAGATTTTAGATGCATTGGGAGGATTACTGTATAAGCTGCGTTTTTCAGCCCTTTATTAAGGCTGAAAAATCCCCCCTCAGCTTATACTCGAGTCAAGGTTATTATTTTACATTATTATTATTATTATTATTATTATTATTATTATTATTACATTTACATAATTATACTCTGTTGTTATTATTGCATTTATTATTTTTCTCTATTTATTATTATTACATTTATTATTTTACTCTATTATCATTGGAAGGATACATAAGCACATTTCCATTGAAGAAGGTTAGAATAATGATTTCATCAGAATTGGACTGTCTTATCTTAAATTACAGTTTTATGTAAATATTTAAAAACATTTAACCTTGTGATGCCTCAGTTAATATTATTTTATTAGTATCTATTTTTATTTTGAAATTTACCAGTAGTTGCTGCATTTTCCACCCCCAACTTATACTCAAGTCAATAAGTTTTCCCAGTTTTTTGTAATAAAATTTGGTGCCTCAGCTTATATTTGGGTCAGCTTATACTTGGTAAATTATGGACTAATTACAGTAGCTGTACTGCTAATTTACTTTTCCAGAATTTTCCTATTATAGTGAGTTTTCTCTTTTCTTCTCTTTGTTTCTTAAGGCACCTGAAATGTTCTCCATTGAACGTGCTTGGAAAGCACTTGAAATGTTGGAGCAAAAGCTACTTGGTCCACTTGGCATGAAAACTTTAGACCCAGAGTAAGTGTAATGGGGAGCTAGTTCAATAACAAAAACCATCCAATAAAATAAATGAGTTTCTTTCCCCTTTCAATCTCCCCTTCTCCTTATCAAGAGAAGCTTAGAGTGCTATTCCATCAAATATGTGGTTACCTAATGAAAAAAAATGTTCTAAACATCCAGGAAGGCCTGGTTGAATACAGCATCTCCTTTTGCAAAGTTCTCTCTTAATCCAGATCATGTCATCTAGCTGTACTTTTATAGTGCCACAATTTTAATATATTTGTGAGATAGAAAATTAAATCACAGCATCCAACTGCCATGTTTCCTTAAGTAATGGATTTTGCATGTTGTGGAAATCTCTTGTTTAGAGATCCAGCTGTTAGAGCCTCCTTTTCCAGTGTTACAGAGTTAATTTTGCAAAGAGGAAAACAGACTTCATCTACACCATGGAATCAATGTAGTTTGACACATCTTTAACTGCCATGGCTCAATGCTGTAGAATCATGGGATTTGGACAGAGGTGGGCTAAAGACCTTGTAAAACTACAACTCTTGTGATTCTATATCATTGAGTCATTCTATTTCAAGTGGCATCAAGCTGAATTCATTCCACAGTGGAGCTGAATTGCAGAGCAACTTTCACAGTACTGCTATCTTTCCTGGACTCCACACCTTGAGGAGGTTGCCAAATGGAGCGAGGATGCTCTGCTTTATTGGAGGTCAGGACCATGGATGGAAAATGCTTTTAAAACCTTTTAAAGTTAGTGAAATATAGCTGACCTTCTCATAGAGCTGTGTTGGCATGATTTATCCCTTTGGCAATAGATGGTGTCTGAAGTGAGTGTTGGCAGTTTAATCAAAGTTAACATGTTCACATTAAAATGTATTAAACAACCAGACATCTGTCAAAAAGGCTTCAACATCCAGCAGTAATTCCCCCCACACCCCAAGTCTACAGTTAAAATCAACTTTAGTTGACCTCTGATAGAATTTTAATATTGTATTTCATCACATCTAAGGGTCACTTTTTCCTTTTTAAAGGGCTTCAAAAATGGAGCACACCTTAGATTCAGTGGCAGCTTAGATTCACCAGTTTTGGAGGATTTTTAAACTGTTTAACCTCTAAAAGAAATGAGGAATATCCCCAGTCCCAAATCACTCTACCAGTATTTTTGCAAAGCACCACTTTCCGCTTTCAGTACTTATTGATCTACTCACACTTGCATGTTTTTGAACTGCTAGCTTGGCAGAAGCTAGACCTAACAGCAGGAGCTAACTCCACTCCCTGGATTCGAACCACCAACCTTTCGGTCAGCAAGTTCAGCAGTTCAGTGCTTTAACCTGCTGCGCCACCAGTGGGCCCAGAGATTTAGTAAAATGCACTCATACAAACAAACAAATATTTATTACAGTTATAGACCAGCATAAGGAGTGTGTGGTACAGTCTCATACAGGCGATATGACTTCCACATTTCTTTACACTCCCTCCTCATCCCAAAAAAAAAAGACTATACTGCAAATCTGCATTGACACAAAAACTAAGTATTTTGCATGCAGTGAAAATTCTAAAAATATTCTAAGAAAATTGCTTGTTTCCAAAATGGACGCTTCAAACACAGAACGCGCCTTACATTTGATGGCACCTTAGATTCGGTGAAATATAATAGTTAGTCTCTGAAAACCTTTTATGGGGTGGCTAAACCACTGGGAGGCAGTAGGTCAAACCTTCTGAAGTACGGAATTCTACAGCTTAAATCCAAATTCCATCAGGTAGATTACTGTCAATAGTAAGAATAACAAATATTTATCACAAAAGATTGTCAGTTCAAATCCAAGGAGCAGGGTGAGCTCCCGGCTATCCATTCCAGCTTCTCGTGTGAGGACATGGGAGAAGCCTCCCACAGGATGGTAAAACATCCAGGTGTCCCTTTGGCAATGTCCTTGCAGATGGCCAATTCTCTCACACCAGAAGCAACTTGCAGTTTCTCAAGTGGCTTCTGACATGGAAAAAAAATCCCAGATATTTATTCATAGATTTCTGGAAAATTGTACATATCTCTGATAAGGTAGAATCAATATTTCAACATAGTGAAAAGGAAAGGAAAATATAGGGAACTGAACCAAAGAATCTTCATGATCGAACAAATAATATAAATCAAAAAGTCATGCCATAACAGCCCAGAAAACTCACAACAACCCAGTAATTCCAGCAATGAAAGTCTTCACTGGAACATGGCCATACAGCCCGGAAAACTCACAACAACCCAGAGCCATAACTGTTCCCGGAGGGAGAAAGAGGGAGAAAGAGGGAGGAGGAAAATTGGATAGGTATAAGTAACAGATGTATAGAACTGTAAAGGCTAGAATGTAATCAATAATGTGTGTTATGTGGGGAAAAATAATAATATATTGTTGTGTAAATGCAATTGTGACAATGTTACAAATTATTTATGTCTAACCAAATTTAAAAAAATGTTTCAACTGGCATGTATGGTAATGCAATTTTCTGAAAAGATATTTATTGATGTCTGTTTCTGTTTTCTTGCAATAGTGATATGGTTTACTGTGGTGTGTATGACAACGCCTTGGACAATGACAACTACAATGTGGCAAGAGGATTTAATTATCATCAAGGACCTGTAAGATTTGTGCTTCAGCATTTTTTAATCAACAGATTTTGTCATGCCTTACCAAAAATATTCATCCCTAATTCTATTTGTTTCTTTTTTTATTATCAAGGAATGGCTTTGGCCCATTGGATATTTCCTTCGTGCCAAGTTATACTTCTCCAAATTAATTGGTCCAGAAATCTATGCAAAGACTGTGTTCTTGGTTAAAAATGTCCTTTCTCGCCATTACGTACATCTTGAGAGGTATTCCTTCAGTCATAAAACTTGAAATATTACTGTTGGAGAATGTCCATTTTGATATTTGGTCCAAAATTAGAACTTGCACTTTGGATATTTATGTGCACAGCAGAAGTTGGAAGGAGAAATAGAGAAGGAAGTTGGCTGCAGATGTTCACATAATTGTAATAGGCAGGGTAACCAAATAGAGTGGATCATCTCTTTTATAATGCACTCAGTGCAAGACCTTTGAAATAAAACTGGCCTTAATGGCATTAAATTATGGACAACTCTGTTAAATAGGGAGCAATTCTGGGCGATAACAAATGGGGTGATTTTTACAGAGCTTGAGAAAGGATTTAGAAGAGCCATACACTCTGCAAGCTCTGAGCTGCTCACCATAGAAAATAGTGATGCCACATAGGAGATTCTGAGAGTTGTACAGTTTGTCCTCCACATTTGTGGGTTTAACTTTTGTGGATTGATTATTCACATATTGGATTAATATGGTCTCTCTATGAATATCTAGGTCCCCCAGCATAACTCTATGGTCAACTTATGCCAGAAGTTAACCTAGAGTGCTGGAGGACCTACAGATTCCTAAAAACATGTTCTCTTGGGTTAAAAGAAGTGTCTTCAATTGACAGTCTTTCCACTTTCACCGAGGTCTTACACCTCTAACCCCAACAAATGTAAAGGCCGTTACATTCCCACGTTCAGTCCTGAGTGATTTTTCTATTGCAGGGACCTATCAGCCAAATCTACTAGCAGCAGTCTGCATACTGAATCACAACCCTTGTGGTTTATGCACAGCAGATTCATAAAGATCTCCTGTGGCCAGAAATAGAGGAGCATACTTTAGTAACATACAGATATAAACAGCAAACATAAACGCAGCCTGGGAAAAGGAGTTTAGACAACAAAATAATATACAGTGGACTCTCCATGAACCAGAACTCAAGCAATCAGCAAAAAAAATTGAAGAAATGATCCTTTAAATAAAGACTAAAATAAAATATTTGTTTTATAATACAGTAAAATCCATTTTTGTAATACAACAAAACTGTGTTACATTAAGTGTTATTTCTTTCTCTTAATTTGCTTTTAATTCCTGTTTTTCAATATTAATATTGAGTGAATGCAGAATTTGTGGTAAGGAATAGTATGGAGTATAGTAATTAGTTAGGCCTATTTTTAATACGAACTCTCAAGCAACCAGAAACTATTTAGCATCTACCAATCCCCAACAGAGAGTCTACTGTATAAACATGTTGCCTTTCCCAATCAATTTTGTTGTTAATTCGGTTGTTATTTGTAACTTTGATTTTTTAACCAAATCTTTATACCAATCCTAGTTGCTTGACAATGTTACAACAATAATACTTTTGCATGGTGTAAAAAATCTAGGACTTAAATAGGTGGCATTCAGCCACCTGAAGAAATAACTTATTTTCTTAACTAATTTAATTTTTTCCCCTTTTTTTGTTCTTGGGGACTTACTGCCTTTTCCTTTCTTGATACCTGTTCTTTTTATATAAAAATCCCTACAAAATTAATAATAAAATAGATGTCCAATTCATTTCACTCCTAGCATGCTGTTAAATATATCCCTGGAGCCCCCAGTGGCACAATGAATTAAACCTTTGTACTGGTAAGACTGCTGACCAAAAGGTTGATGGTCCAAATCCAGGGAATGGGGTGAGCTCCCATCTATCAGCTTCAGCTTCTCATGTGGGGACCTGAGAGAAGCCTCATACAGGATGGTGTGTGTGTGTGTCCCACATATGAGATGTGTTCTTTTATGTAAATAAATTAAAATACTCACTGCTACCAGGTTTGTACAATATTGTAATATATTGATTGTGTTTCCTTTATAGGTCCCCTTGGAAGGGTCTTCCAGAACTGACTAATGAAAATGGTCAATATTGCCCTTTCAGCTGTGAAACACAGGCCTGGTCAATTGCTGTCATCCTTGAGGTTCTCTATGACTTGTAAAAGGGATTGTCCATCTTGAACACACACACACACACATCCTGTTGGCTCTTGTCTTGAATGCAAATAACTGCTTCTCTTGTAGTTTTAAGTCCTGCTTTTCAAAATTGTATCTACACTTCCCAGACACTTGGCTAAGGGAGGGGGTTTCCATCTTTAAGGATCGCACTCTATCATTTTTATTCATATGGAAACTGAGGCCTTATCCTACTATTAGTCCTAAGTAGAGTGAACCCTTAGAGATTTTTACGTAAGTTTTGATCCCAACATTCAGTAGGTCTGCTCTGATTGAAACTAGCAATGAGATTCAGGTCTGATCGTTTTAAGTGCCATTGTTGAGAACATATTTAATTTTAAGTGTAACGATTATACAGAACCTTATTATACTGTGCCAGTTTTCTAATACAGAATCTCTTTCACGGAACAAGATTTTATAGTATAAGAACTCCTAGTCCAATTTTCTTTTCCTGAGATTTTGCCACCGAACTTTATGAAAAGATGAAAAGATGTCAAGAGAACTGAAGGCCAAATTAGACATGTTTAAATCTGGATGTCAGAGCAATATAGGGATTGAAAGGGATGGGTTCGTATCTGGCAAAAGGAGCATACAGGGGAGGAGTATGGAAACCTCAAGCCAAATGACCATTTACCTGTCTGCAGACCGTGCTGCTTGCATGTTGCAGTATCTGAGCAGGGTCATCAGAGGACAACCAATTTTAAGAGCAAAACTTAGGAAACAAGAAGTAGGGAAGTGGGACATTGTAGACCTAGTTTCCATACTCATTTGGCTCATAAAACTGGACTGCCAAGGCTATCCAAGCCTCCATGTGATAAGTTCTTATCAGACTATGCAATTGAACTGCTGGTAGAAACATATTCTTTTCACCCCTTTATTGCAAACCCACTTGGCTTGGTATAGGGGCGAAAAGAAAGAAAATCCTTTGTAGCAGGAAATTATAAGACTCTAGATTGCCATTCCTGGTTTAATGCAGGGAATTGTGTGCCATTCTAGATGTTGTTGAACTGCCATTCCCATCAGCCCTAAGCAGTAATGAAGAATGCTAGGGTTTGCAGTTCATCCACATCTGAAGCGCCTTGGTTTAACAAATGTGTCAGGAACTCAGTAGCCTGTGCCATTATTTCAATGCAATTAATTGGCAGCTGCCATCTTAAACGATCAGCTTTTCCATCAGCAGAAGGAAAGAGTTAAACTTGGCTTAAAATACAATGTGGTGACGATGCAGATTTTGCTGCCCCTTTTTAATTTTTGTATGTAACAGTAACAATTTTTAGTCTATGTTAATCATTTCATCACCATTGTTGAATTCTTAGCTCCAAAAAGAGAGAGAAAGGAATAGTTAGCATTTTATTTGACTACATGCTGATGACAGGCATGTAAACAGAATAGTGTATTGCTGCTAAATTGTGGTATATATTGCCTTTTCAAAACTGGTGTTTAATTTTTTCACATTGGTGCTTTGATATTGTGACTAATTAACAAGATCTTAATGCTTAACACTGGCGCTACTATTGACTTCAATAAGCCTAATTATGTGAGCAAATTCTATCTAATTCACTTGAATGCTTTTTCATTAATAAAGGATAAATTCTAATGTACAAAACTTGGTTTTGACATTCCTAACCATTTTCAGTCATAGCAGTGAGCGGCCAGTAATAGTTCTAAGCATCCAGTTTTCTGGTGGGCTTTTTTAAAAAACACATTTACAAATAGATAATTGCCCATTCATTTTTAAAGCCTCATTATATTAAAAAAAAAGTTTAAAAATCCAAGATAAATTTTCTTAACCAGTGCTCAGTCCTCAGTCATAATATATCTCTTTGACTTTGTAATGCTTTTTACTTAAAGAAGAAATGATTGAACCTATTTTCTTAATTGGACTAAATCAGTTATATTTCTAGATAGGCATGTGTAAGTTTGCTCTGTTATAGAAAATGAACAACTGAATCCTGATATCTAATTTGGAAATTAGAGCCCAATTATATGGGGCCCCTGGTGGCACAGCAGATTAAACTGCTGAGCTGCTGAACTTGCTGACCAAAAGGTTAGTGGTTTGAATCCAGGGAGCGGAGTGAGCTCCCGCTGTTAGGCCCTGCTTCTGTCAACCTAGCAGTTCAAAAACATGGAAATTTTTAAAATCAATCCAGTCCTTATCTTAAAGGCTGGTTCCCAGAGCCCAAAGGCACATGAACGCCCACAGAAAGACTTACAACAGCAGAAGGGTGATCCACAGATTCCTTTATTCTTTCTTTCTGTCGCTCCCTCTCTGTCTTTCTAAGCAATTTCTTTTTGTCCAAATGCCAATGCCAAAAATGAACTCAGGTGAGCTATCACTACCTAAAAAGTGTAGCTGCTAAGAGTTGAGCAGGAGTAACCCCATTCTTGTGCGATCCTTTTGTTTTCAAATTTGAACCATTCATCACATCCTCCTTTGTTGGTTTGGCTAATGTTGGCCCTCTACTCTAGATCTTAATGAAAGTGGCTTTGTATCAGAATTTGAAAAAAAAGTTTAAGTGCTAATAAAGACTTAAGTCATTGTATTTGCACTAAGTACATTTCCACATATTTTGGCATTTTCACATGCCGGGAGGAATAAGAATGGGGAAGTGTATGTGAAATCATTGGTTCTTCCAGTCTTTTGCAGTTTCGTGAGTTGCACTGTCCCGGCTGAAATCAGTACATATTCCTCATGCTTGCAGTTTTTGCACAATTGTAATAAAACAGTTTAAATACATTTCACTTCTATATCTTTAATGTAAATAACCTATGAAAAGATTGTTAGTTAATAACAAGAGAAATATACAGATGTTTAAAAACACTCATTACTAAGCCTTATTTCAAAAGTGAAGCATGATGCTCTTAATAGTGATGTCCTTATATTTCATTGCGAATATGGTGAAAATGTCCGTTTTGGCAAAGATCTCAGGCATTAACAATATACGGTGGAATTCATAGCTAGAATCTGTATGGAGATTTTTTAAAAATTAAAATAACAAACTAGGTGGTTGGGAAATAGGAATATTGTATACTACTGTTTACAACTTGTTCTAATAGACATAGTAAAGCCAATTATAATACCAATCATACAGCCGCAAACTGTTTGGCAGATAGACTGAACAGGCAAGTGTATATCTCTTCCACAAAAACTCTTATGGCATATCTACTAGCAATCATTGCTTAATTCTTTCAGAAGAGTACATCCATTCAATGATCACATCTATACACATTTGCCTGTGGTTTTTCTGTTGTAACATTCATTTTGTTAGTATCAAGCCATAAACTAAAATCCAATGCAAATCAAGGGAATCCTGCATGTTTGGGAGATGCAATTGTTGTACACGCAAGTCCTGTACGTCTGTCTGATACCATTACTTTTGTTATATGGGTGATATTTTTTCTGTAGTTACCTGTGAGTGACATTGAATAAAGTCTAACAAAAGATGCAGTTGTCTTTTATTATTGCTTAGGTTATATTTTCCTGCATGGCAGGGGGTTGGACTGGATGGACCTTGTGGACTCTTCCAACTCTATGATTCTATTATTTATTTATTTATTTATTTATTTTGGTCATTTCTACCCCGCCTTTCTCACCCCCTAGGGGGGACTCAAGGCGGCTTACATCCGGCACAATTCGATGCCCACAATTACAATAAAATGCAATAGCAATAACATAATAGATTAAAAACAGACAATTAATATAGTACAATACAACACAATACAATATCAACTAAAACCGCTCTATAACCCGCATTCATCGTGTTCTAAAATCCGTCATAGCATTGCCATAGTCCTTTCCAACTCTAGTCATCATTACCTTGTTACCCTGCCAGACTACCCAAATGCCTGGTCCCATATCCATGTCTTCAGCTTTCTTCTGAAGGAGAGAAGGGATGTTGATGACCTAATTTCCCCGGGGAGTGAATTCCACAGGCTAGGGGCCATCACTGAGAAGGTCCTGTCTCTCGTCCCCACCAGCCTCACTTGTGATAAAGGTGGGGCCAAGAGCAGGGCCTCCCCAGAAGATCTTAAACTCCATGGTGGGACATAGAAGGAGGTAGGTTCGGACAAGTACACTGGGCCGGTGCCGTAGATTCTTTTCAGAAATCCTATGGAGAACTGAAGCTGGAATTCCAGGCACTGGATTATATTGCCAACGAATAGACCAGAGTGAAGCTCCACCAGTCCCACCATCCATCAGCCTTGCTGCCTTTTCCAAAGCCTATGAAAACTGCCTTTGAGAAGGGATGTCTTACAGCACTCACCATGTTTCACTGCTGTTACAATTTCCACAAAGCATGCTCACAGTAATTTAGGAATACAATTCTTCTAGGCCAGTGATTCTCAATCTGTGGGTCCCCAGGTGTTTTGGCCTTCAACTCCCAGAAATCCTAATCTGGCTGGGATTTCTGGGAGTTGAAGGCCAAAACATCTGGGGACCCACAGGTTGAGAACCACTGTTCTAGGCCGTTGATACTGGGCACCTAAGCAAGACTAGGAGGCTGCATAATCCTCCAAGAGGCCCTAAATATAAATCCCTTTTTGTCCCCAAGCCCCCTCCTCTATGGGACACATGGACATTTGAGGGACCTTCCTCGGTCTCTAGATAGCATTTGACAACATTTTGAAACTTTAAAAAATATTCATAATTTTTTGACCCCTGTGGAATGTGAGTCCACAAATGTGGAAATGTACTCTATACAAACCTGTTTGAAATAAGGAAGGATGACCCCTGGGTGCTATAGAAATAACCCCAAGGAGCTGCATACAAGTTTTACCCGCCAGTGTTACGAGCAATACTTTTTTCAGCCAATGTTTCTGAATACTTAATCCTGGTGATTCGTTTCACAGTGGTTCTCAACCTGTGGGTCCCCAGGTGTTTTGGCCTCCAACTCCCAGAAATCCCAGCCAGTTCACCAGCTGTTAGGATTTCTGGGAGTTGTTAGAATGTATCCAAGTTAGCTCCATCCCTTTGGCTTCTCTAACTTGGATACATTCTAACAGCCGGTTCCGTCGCTATGGCAATGCCTCAGCTCAGGCGACACATCACCTGGCCTGCACCTATCATATCCCAACATCAATAAACACATTTAAAACATACATTATATTTAGCTGTTTTGTTACACCATCCTTGGTACTCCAGGTGTTTTGGACGTCAGCTCCCACAATTCCTAATGCCTGGTAAGATGCCTGGGATTTCTGGGAGTTGAAATCCAAAACACCTGGAGTACCAAAGGTTGGGAACCACTGGTGTAGACCAATCTAATGAATATGTCATGCAGTTCAAAGTACATTAGATGGCACAGTAGCTCCAGCCCCAGTGACTTCCTTCACTGGATTGCTGTGAAAATATAGCAAGTGTTATCAAACACCACTACCCCCACCCCTAATAAAAAGGGATTTATAGTTAAGAATGTATAGTTTCCAAGGGCAGCATGCCAGAATGAGATAAAGCAGTGCCCTCTCTTGCATAAAGTCTACCAAGCCCCATCACCTCCAGACCCTTGCTACTTTCCTCTATCCTCCTAATCATAAACTATATTTTATTCCCTTTATTCATATAAATCTATTAAATAGATTCTATTTTACAAGAGATATTGGCTTCTGTCTGACCTAGGTCAAGAGGCAAACCATCCGACCATTGTGTCAAGCTGGAAACCAACCATCAGATATTGTTCAAAAACAAAGAAGACTTTGGCCATTTCAGCGTTTTTTAACTAGGATCAAGCAGCTACCATATGTGTATCTATTCCTTTCTGTATAACTTTTATCCTTCTCTGTAATGTATTTATTCTACTTTTTTTCTACCATATTTTTAAATTCTAAATTTAAGAAACTATCTGCCTGACCCAAGCCAAGGGCCATTACTCAAGAATGCACTCTCAGTCCCAGGCAAAGAATATAACAAAAGCCTATTCCTAGGCAGTAGCTTCCAACTGCCCAACTACAGCCTCCTCAGTAGGCATGTTTGTTTACCTAGGCCAAACCAAGACTACAGAGATCAGCCTCCATTGTTCTCATGAGTCTGGGTTTCCCATCATCCTCACCCTGGACCCCTGCTGACCTGGAATATCAGCACTTCTTGAAGACTTCTCCGCCCACAGAGCTTTCCCCTCCTGGCTGGGAAGGGATCTCCAACCACATCATTGGAGCTCACCCAACTGGAGACAGGGGAGGGATAATTCAAACTGGGATAGTAGTAACTTGGTTGTATAAAACTATTTTGCACAGCACGTGTCCTTTTATGCTTGTACTTTTGGGCAGGAGCCTACTGGCATTGATTCTTCGCCAAAAATGCAATAAAACACCTCTGTCCTTTGTCTTAACTTCCTGATGAGTCTTTAATCTGGAACTTTGGTTATTAATTTTGGTTAGCATAATGTTCCCTCATATGATTATATTCTAAATTCCATATCACAAGGAAGAGGGGAGCTAAGTGCATGCTGTGAGCTCATGGGAGGAAGAATGAGATATAAGAAGTGTACAGACCTTCTATTCCTTGGCATCTCTGCCCAATGTATGACCAATTGGGATTTGAAAAAGTTGGCATTCAGAGGCAAACATACAGACCCAAGAGCCAGCTAGTGCTGGGTTATATTTGCCCTTAAGTTCCTCCACTGCATGGGGGATTCCTTGCATAATTTTGAATTAGCACTAAAGTTATCTTTATACATTTAATCCAAAATAACTTTTAAAATCTTTTATATAAAGGTAAACATATTAAAGGACAATATTTGACAACAAGAGTGAACTCCTTGAGAGTAAATTAAAATATTAATGAGTATAACAGGATTTCTCCCTCGCAAGTGGGCTGGGGGCCAACAACTCGAAGCAGATTACATAAGTGATGCTATAAAGAGTATTTTGCTATGTATGACCCTAGCAAGTGATTCATGCAGAAAAGAAACTGGGCGTCATTTCTAAATCCAGTGTGACTTTGGTAAAGCTATGAAGGTTTTACATTCCTATTACAAACTAATTGGAAATAAAATAAAAAGTGTTAAGAGTTTAATGTGAAAAACTATGTATGGATTATAAAGCCTACCATTTAAAGCAAATTAATGTGGATGTAAATTCTGAAATCATTAGGACCCAAATCTATTTAATATTATATTGTTAAGCAATTTTCGCACATTACACTTAAAAAACCCTTGACAATGATAATTTTATTGCTCATTCAAGCAATTTCATCACATGCGTTATTGTAATGTGTGTATTAATGCACAGTAGAAGTCTGAATATAAAGTTTTTCATGGCCACATTCTACATAATAGCTTGCGGGGGCGGGGGGTCTTCTTTCATAATGAAAGAACAGGCAACCACTAACTTTACACAGATTAGAACACTCTTTCAAAACTAGGTTAATCTAAGTGGTATTTTAATTAATGCTAACCTTAATTATAAAGGGCAAATTAATCATTTTCTCTTTCATAACTAGTTAATCTGAAATGTATTTGCTGGAAATGAACCCTGGCAGCATATCTACACCCCTTTCTATTCAAATTTTCTGACTTTGAATGTCTATATAAATAAAAATGTAATGTTAATTTGTGCTACCATCAGAACTCAAAAACCACTGGGGGAATTGACACCAAATTTGGACACAAGACACCTAACAGTCCAATTTATGTCCTCCACTCAAAAAAACCCCCCAAAAATACTTTCCCCCCTCAGAAAGTAAGCCTCAGGGAGGAAGGGGGAAGGGAAGGAGTGAACGTGCACAGCAGACTCCCACGGGAGGAGGCTCTCCGTTCACTGCCTCTCTGCCGCTACCCTTTCCATGCTGCCTAGGCTGCTCTGCCTCCCCAAAATTCATCTATCCAGACTCAACTAATCTACTGCCGATACTGTTATACTACTGTTATAGAACTCCAGTATGCTGATGACAATGTCATCTGCGCGCATACAGAAGAAGATCTACAAGCCACTCTAAACATCTTCGCAGAAGCATACACGAAGGTTGGCCTGTCACTGAACATCGAGAAAACCAAAGTGCTGTTCCAGCAGTCACCAGCCATCCCCTCTCCAATGCCAGAGATACAGCTTAATGGTGTAGCATTAGAAAATGTTGACCATTTCCGTTACCTTGGCAGCCACCTCTCCACCAAAGTCAACATCGAAATACAACACCGCCTGAGCTCTGCAAGTGTAGCATTTTCCCGAATGAAGCAGAGAGTGTTTGAGGACTGGGACATCCATAGGGATACCAAGGTGCTTGTTTATAGAGCTATTGTCCTCCCAACCCTGCTATATGCCTGTGAGACGTGGACTGTCTACAGACGTCACATGCAACTCCTGGAACGATTCCATCAGCGCTGCCTCCGGAAAATCCTGCAAACCGCCGGGGAAGGAAGTGGCCCTTGGATGCCATACACGGAAGGACGGGCGTGGGAAACCCTTTGAGGTATAGGAAGGGGCCCCAAAGGCCATCCAGTCCAACCTCA